GACTCTTGTCGTTACTCTGGACCCAGATGGACCATCCAGGATGCTTTCCCCATCAGGACATCCTTTTAGTTACACCTGCCGAGTCCTGTCAGCCGTATAAAGTAACATAAGTTCTGCGGACATCGTTTGGGAACCATTATTCAGCTTTCCCAGGGAGCCTAATTTTAAATTGCTGTATTGCATTCCGTAATGTACATAAATTATTTAGCTAGTTCCCTGTTGCATTTTAGGTGGTCTCTGATTTTTCCCCAGTTAAAAGCCTTGGACATAAATTGTGTGTTCTCAGATTCATACTTCTCTGGATTTCAGGAAAGCCGGGTAACATTCCTCTTAAGAGTGTGGCCTCTGGAGCCAGACCACGAATGTTCCCGGCCCAACTTCCCCACTCACTGCCAGGTGACTCCAGGCAGTGCTGAGCCAGGCTAGACCTCAGTTTTCTTGTTGAAAGTGGGGTGGGGACAGATTGTTGTAAGGATTAAGTGAGTTAATACATGCACATTAAGTGGGATAGTGTCTGCCACATGCTGAGTGCTCCGTATGTGTTCATCGTTGTTATTACCGAATTTATCAGGCTGAAGTTTCTTACATTCACGTATTGACAAGTTTCAACTCTAAAAGGTCATAAGAGTTTTTTACATTTACTAGCAAACTAGGAAAGTATTCAGGTTGAATTCTTAAGCTTGATTTCATTTTATCTGGCTGTCTCAGTTTTGTCTGTCAAAATGTTACTTTTATGATGTAAATTATAGAGACACTGGGGTTAATTCTAGTGGCTGTTTACTATCTCAATTCCTTAATTCCTCAGAATGAGAAATACTTTTAATTTCCCTGTAAGTAGCCCAGCACGTCTTTTGGGATGTTGAGGTGTCATTCTTTGTGACAGTTGATGGTTGTAAATCTGTTTGACAAGGTCCGTGGTCTGGTTGTGCACACATTGGGTCGGTGCAGACTGAGTCTACAAGAGGCTTAAAGTTGCCTCCACTCCTCCCCTACATTTTCAAATTCATACTCCCACCCTCCTGAGGGCAGTCCTAGCAACCGAGACTAGATATAGGACCTTTTTTGTTTGTTTGTTTGTTTTGGAAACCATTTCCACCATTTCAGAAAGGGTGGAAGAAGAGTACAAGCCCTTTTTTCTCTGCATTCTTAAGTAAGTTGCAGATCTGATGCCCTTGATCCCCAGGCACTGTAGTGGGCATTTCCTGCAAGCAAGGACCTTCTCCCATAAGCACGGCACAGCCGTCAGAGTCCAGCAGTTGGTCATGATACTCCACCACTATCTAATCACAGGCTGATCCCGTGCAGGTTTTGCCAGTTGTTCGTTCCAGTAACGTCCTCACAGCAAAGGGATCCAGTTCAGAGTCTTGAGTTGCCTTCAGTCTGGAGCCTAATCTCAGCCGTTCCTTGGTTTTCATTACCTCAGTACTTAGGGTGGTTGTAGGCCAGTCGTTCTGAAAGATGTCCCTCAGTTTGGGTCCTGATGTTTGCTCACGACCTGATTGAAGTTGTGTGTCTTTGGCAGGAACCCCTCAGGAGATGCCAGGCTCTCCTACCACGTCTGCCTGGTGGACCCGGGTCTGTTTGTCCCATCTCTGGTTAACTTGATGAAGCGTCTCCACCCTAGCATTCCTCTACTTCCTTTTGTAAATCAGGATTTTGTTGGGAGGCATTCTGAGATCATGTAAATAGCTTAATCGTCTTCGCACTTCAGTTTATTTTCTGTGTGTATGCCACGGTGGACTCATGTTTTCCTTTTGTCTTCAGTGGGTCAAGATCTGTTACTTTCACCATTTACTTTGATGCATAGATCCCAGCGGGCCCCTGTGACCCTCCCCACCTTTCTGTGAGCCCTTCTTCCCCTTTGGCACACATGTTCCAGATTTGTCTCTTTTTCCCCTGCCCAGCCTGAAACTCGCTCTCTCTCTAAGGAGCCTGGTTTGTTTCAATGGAGTATAGTGTTTAGAAAACCAGTGCTGGGCACTAGTGGGGGTGAGGGGGTTCCCTCCTATGAGAATATTGCTGCCCCCATGTTCTTTCTTTCAGCAGACACAGCTAGGATATACATGCCCATGTGTTGGTGCGAGTGTATGTTTCTACACCTGTCTGTTGAAAAGCTTGCATTCACACCAGTATTTCCATTGTTATCCTGCATGGCTCATTCCAGTGTTTCCCTTCATGTTTGAGACTTCCTTCTCTGATGGTGAGAAAGGTGCCTCCGTTCTCCACAAAATATTTAATTGACCCAATCAGTGTCCTTCTGTCACTGCTGACCCCTTACTCAGACTCTGACACCCCGGGGGCCTCACGCCCCGCCCCAGTATCCATCACTCCACACAGGCTGGGCTGCTGAGGCTCTCCCACCAACACCTGCCTTCCTGTCCTCAGCCTGTTGCTTTTATAAAAAGTGTTTTTCCTTTCCTAAGTGTCTGTGTTTCCATCCTCTGTGCTTATCTATGCTTGTTGCTGCATGTGTGTTTGCTACTAGATGGTGAGCCTGGCCGGGGGAACTAGCTCTCCAGGTATGCACTGGGGAGTGAGTGGAAGGAGCCGTCGGGGACACGGTGAGGGGTGCCTTCGGAGCCCCACGGAGGAGTAGGGGACTGTATCTTAAGGCAGACAGGCCAGGCCTGCAGAGGTCCGTGGCCGGTGGCTGGTCTACGACCCCGGTGATGGTGTGGGCACTGCCTCAGTTGTAAGAGGGCGTCGGCTCTCTCCCCACAGGCTGACTTTTAAGTTCATTGTCTTTACCTGTGTGTGAATTATTTTGGAACAGGTTTAATGAAAGTTGATGTAACTAAACTCACTGAATCTAACATTTGCTCACTAGTGTGGCTCACTAATATGTGTGTGGTATCCAGTCCAAATGTGTCATAGATTCTGTAGCGCTCTATTTGTGTTTTATTTTTTTAATTGTTTTTTCACAGTAAGTTCATTTCCTGTATCATGAGAGCCTTTGTCACTGTGACTAGCTTTCTCTTTGACCTGTATGCTGAGTCAGGTGTATGCCTCAGGTAACTGTGTTCTGTGATACCTCACTGCTGCCAGTACCAAGTATGAACAGAAACTTGGGGCTCACTGCCAGGTGGCTTCCTCTAAAACAGCTTGGGGTGGCTTTGGTGTCTCCTGTTGCTCTTCTTCCATCTTTCTCTTCTGGTCGTTGGTTTTAATAAGAGAATAATTCTCTTATTCTCCATGTTGCTATGGAAATAGCTTTTAATATTTCACTTCTATCTGATTAACTGTTCCATCAGCCTTGGTTTCCAGTTAGGCCTGCTTTTCGTATCACTTGTTATTATAATGATGAATGTCCTAATTATTATTTCAGAGATTGTTTAAATACTCCAACAGCTTACCTGTCTTTATCACTGTTTTCCTGTTTATCAGTGCTTTCCTAATAGAAGCACTTTTGAATAGTCCCAGAAACCACAAACCCCTTGTTTTTATTCTCAGATACCAGTTTCTGCCGGAAGAATGGATTTATTAACACCTTGACACACCTCTCTCGAAAAGGGGCTGACTCCTTGTCCTAAATGTTTTCTTCTAAGAAACAAGTAGTGATGGAAGGAAGGACTGTCTCATTGCTCTGTTTTCCCCCTGTTGGGTAATTTATGTTTCTGATGTGATCTGTGCAGTGTATCTTTCTGGACATTCTACAGCCTGTGTTTTTTGTTTTTTAACTGCTGTTCTATTCTTCACTGTGAAGAATTACCCTTTTCCTTGCCATTCAGATATTTTGAAAGGTATTTGTGCTCACATGCAATTTGATACTCAAGTCACATTTTTCTCTGGCAACAGCTTTTACCTCACCAACTGTCTGTCCTCTCATACCACATCCAGTAAAGAGATAATCTGATTTTATAACACATTCAGCAGGTTAAAAGTCTAAGTTGCGGCTTGAGGTAAAATACACTTACTGACAATAAAAACTCTTCCATGCTCTCTTCACAGAATTGGCAGAAAATATTTCAAAACCTGAAAAAGTGTAATTTGAGTAATTTCAGAGCACTGTGTGTCTTAGAGGGTGGTAGGTACATGAATTGTATGGAAATTAGTCTGTTCTTAGATGTTACTTTTATATAGAAAGAAAAGAATGTGTACCAAGCTTTTACTTGAAAAACTGGTGGAATTTAATTGGCAACCCACTCCAGTGTTCTTGCCTGGAGAATCCCATAGACAGAGGAGCCTTGGGTTGCAGAGTCCAACACACTGAGGGACTAACCGTGCATGTGGGGAATTAAATACACATGGGGAATTAAAGTGCTGATTGGGGCAATGCCCTGGGGTAAAGAAATGCAATTGATAGGAAAAGACAAGAATCTGAAATTGAGGCAAAGGGAAGGAACTTGGGCAAAGACTCATGACTCCCATTCATTATCTTAGGGCTAATGTGCTTATTATTCTGGGGGTTATTTGTTAGTCTTGTTTTTCTCCATTTTTCTCATTTATTTTATCCTATTTTATTTTTGAAGCTGTCTTAAAACTTTCTTTTCCCCCTGAAAGGGGTGAGGAGTAACTAAATTAAAATGAGCCCATAAATATTTCATGGTTGCATCATGCCTTTGTTTTGTCTTATAGCTGGTGTGTCTTTTAGACCCTCTTACCCAAATTGCAGAGGTCATGAACCTCTGTGGCTCTGTCGGCGTGCTGCTCATGTCCCTGTGTGCTTGCTTTGTTTTGTAGACTGGCTCACAGACTGATCACTTCCCCGCTGGACTTTGGTTCCGTGGTGCACATGGAGTGTAGGACTCAGGGGCCTGGGCCGGAGTGAGCGAAGCCTGAGGCCCAAGATGGAGAAGAAGCGAAGAAAGAAATGAAAGCCTCGTTTCAGGCCAAGCCACAGAGGCCATGAAATTTAACTTTTATTTACGTTGGACAAGACTGTAAAATGGCGGATCAGTAATGTTTCAGCTTTTAGCTGAAACAAAAATTAACTTATAATCAAGGAAGAAAAAAGTACCATTTGAGTTTATGTGATTTTATGACCATACTCACTCATGACCATGAAGCTTGTCAACATCTGGGTGCTTCTGCTGGTGGTTTTGCTCTGTGGGAAGAAGCATCTGGGCGACAGACTAGAAAAGAAACCTTTTGAAAAGGCCCCGTGCCCTGGCTGTTCCCACCTGGATTTGAAGGTGGAGTTCTCCTCAACGGTTGTGGAATATGGTAATGATATTATCTTAAATGTTAGGGACTTGCCCCTCAGTGTGTTGGGTTTTTTTTGTTTTCTTTTTTCAGAGTTATTATAAACATTAGCTTTTGCCAAAAACATTTCCCTCTCTTCTGCAATAAATATAAAATGGGCTGAGTGCATAGTGTTTGTATATTAATTCTGCTGGTTTGTTTTTTCAGTTTAATTATTTTATATAAAGCAAGGAAATTGACATTCTGAATTGTTTCCCTAAAATTGAATTCCATGGAACAGATGTCATGGTAGCTGGTGAGGGTGGGTACTTTGGAGGGGATGAAAGTTTATGTGACCAGTTGTGAATAACTAAGCAATGAGTCTTATATGATATGCTCTAAGTTTCGTTAACTTTCCAGGAAGAAGGGAGCCTTCACTTCTCTGAATTCCTCCTTCCTACTTGAAACCTTATGTGCATTTCTCTGCCACATGCTCAAACTTCTCTTAACATTCGGTGTTTGAAAAATAGCTCAGGTGTCTGGTTTTGAGTGCTGTGTCCTGTGATCAGTGGGGTTCATCCAGATCGTTTTAGCTCAGAGCTCTGGAAACTGCCATCCAGGGTGTTTAAACTAGTCTGTTTGCTGCTCTTTCTGCTGTAGGTTTTATGATATATATGTTTTCTTTTACCAGGAAAATTTTGTATTAGATATAATCTTGTATAATGTCATAATATAGGTTCATAAGTTCTTTTTTGTGTGTGTGTGGTCATTGATTTCAGAGTACATTGTGGCTTTCAATGGATATTTTACGGCCAAAGCTAGAAATTCATTTATTTCAAGCGCCCTGAAGAGCAGTGCAATCGACAACTGGAGAATTATACCTCGAAACAATCCATCCAGTGACTACCCTAGTGATTTTGAGGTGATTCAGATAAAAGAGAAACAGAAGGCAGGGCTGCTGACTCTTGAAGACCATCCGAACATCAAGCGGGTAACACCCCAGCGGAAAGTCTTTCGTTCCCTCAAGTACACGGAGGGTGAGTGATGCTCCCGAGGGCTGGTCTGTGTGCGTTTTTGCTGCGCTGGAAACAGAGGGGGTGTGCGTGTTCACCCAGGGTAGTATCGAGAAATAGTACAGTGAACACCCCGTGTTTCATCAGCTGTGAACACTTTCTCAGCAGGAATGAAAAAAAAACAGAAAAGAGACTTTGTGCTTCTGATCGAAAGTTTGCAGTAAGAGTGATCTCTGTTGTGTGGGAAGAGATTGTCACCAGGTTTCCCTCAGGGCCTTCAGGCTGTGAGGCCCTGGCGCCCCTTCACACTCGGAAGCCAAGACGGTGTCTTTGAGTCCCCTTGCTTGCATTTTGCGTCCTTCAGTGCGTGTTTTTATTTTGGATGCATCTGGCAAAATGCCTTTTCTTTGGGTTTCATTTTGCTTTTCTCAGACCCTCCTGACTGTGCACCATTGTGCCTCAGCCAGGCTTGTTGAAGCTGGAAGCCGGGCATGTGCGGGGATGGAAGGAATCTGCTGAGTCCCTTTCAGCTCCAGGGCTCACTCCCTGAGTCCTTACAACAGGCTTGTGGAGAGAAGTTCCTTCTCAGATAACCAATTGCAGATTATTACATGCTAGTTTCCAAAGCAGGTATACTACCAAAGGGGAAAGGGTTTTTCCCTGTTCGTCAGAAACTGGGGTAGCAAATAGGTAATAGCTGTTATCGCTTATTATTTCTTTCATTAGAAGAAAAACAAAATAAGATGTTTGTCACATGAGGCCTGAGAGCCTCTGGGGTTTAAAAACACACCCAGGGGACAAGCCAGTTCCCGTGCCAGCTGCAGAGCTCAGGGGTGTCTGGCTCGACAGAGCTCTTTTCACTCGTCCTTTTGTTTCGTGGTGCTTTTTCTCTTTGAAAAGCAGTCACCTCAAAGCAATCCACGAAGATAAAAACAAATCAGACCTGTGCAGTTAGCCAAATGTATGCCTCGTGCCTTTTTCTTTAAAGAGCTGCAGAGTATTTTAGGGAATGTGGTAGCACAGGAAGCATGTAGAGTTTCATGGTTGGGGGTCCCCTTCTGTACCCTCTCTAGCGTGGTTGTCAGTTGCTGGGGTGCCCTGAAAGGAAATAGTGTATCTCTTCCTCTGGTCAGGAGCTGTGGGTACCTGTGGTGAGCACCTTTTCTTTAAGCTTCTGCTCCGCTCATCCAGAAAATGGAGATGATGCTACCCAGCTGAGTTCTTCCGAAGGTGAAAGGAAATAGTGCATGTGGAGAAAACTCAGCAGAGTTCTTGGGCTGTTATAAGCAGATGTTAAATATTCGTTTTTGGGAATTCCCTGGCGGTCCAGTGGTCAAGACTCCGAGCTTTCAGTGCTGGGGCCCAGATTCAGTCCCTAGTCAGGGAATTAAGATTCTGTGTGCTGTATAGTGCAGCCAAAAAAAAACCAACTCATTTTTCTGTGGCTCTGTTGTTAGAATGCCTTGCTTAGTTTGGATCGGAACCTGTCACACTCTGGATCCCACCCCTGGTCTTGGTGGGCTGTAAGACAGAGCTGACCCGATTTCCACGAGACAGCACTGCGAGGCGTTTGGAGGGCCTCTTGGTGTCCCGTGTCTGTTACGTCTCTGGGATAGTAGATACCAGTTCCTTCAGGGGCTGCTCATTTGGCCTGGCCTTACCCTTTTAATGGCTTGCTTTCAGATGTGTCCCGTTTTCTCTGAATTGCTCCTAACGAGGAAAGCCAGAACCGAGTTCAGTCCTCCAGGTGTAGTACGGTCTGCTGGAGGGAGAGCCTGGCAGACCCTCCTTGGTTTGAACATTGTGCTTCAGTCAGTGCCCCGGCTGTTGACTGAAGGCAGAGTCAATGTGGGAGAGTCAGTGGGGAATCGTTTCACTGGCAGTGTGCAAATAGGCACTTAATGGAATTGACACAACTCTGTATTTCTCCAGGTCCTCGTGTTTTCATGGGTGTAGCCTGGTGAGACTGGAAGGAGAGAGAGAACAACTTCCTTTAGAAACAGAACCTCAGTAGTATTACAGATGGTCCCGTAGAGAAGGGTTTGAAATACGTTTTTTTCTTCTTTATAGCATGGTTTTTGAAAGGTCAAGGGACACCCTTGTGATATTTCTACTTTTTTCTTCCATTAAAAAAATGAATGTTTATGGATGGTAAAATTCATGCTTTTTAGTGCACAGTTTGGCAGGTCTTGATAAAAGTGCAGTCAGGTACCCACCAACAAAATCAAGATGCAGTTCTCCCCGAGTCCTCTGTAGGTGTTTTGTGTTTTGAAGGGCGATGTTCTAGTAGATACTTGTGCTGAGGACGTTGAGCAGGTCCCAGTAGGACAAGGTTGGACCAAGGTGTCCTGGGGTCACAGGGCTTCTTTCTGTCTGAGATCACGCAGTAAACAGAGAAACTGCACCGTTGCTTTCTTGCACTCCGCCCTCCCCCCACCCCTTTTCTGGTTCTTTGAGAATAAGTGGTTGGTGAAATACCAAGCATTTCTTCAATTCCAGTATCAAAACTGACTTTATCTCTTTAGAAATGATTATTTTATCATTTGTTCCCTCCCTCTTATTGGTTAGAAGATTCCAGGTAAAGAACTGTTTGGAAAGAATATGGTGGCTAAATAATGTCCTGTGAGCGTAACCGTGTTGAGAAGTTCCTTCTAGCAGAGGGGAGAGTGTCACTCTGCCGTGTCACTCTGCCGTGTCACTCTGCCGCACGGGGGTTTCAGGCGGGGGTCACTGCCCTGGTGGAAGGAGTTGCCCCTGACAGGCATGCGTCCTGAGTTTCTGCTCTCTCTCCTTGCCTGCAGCTGAGCCCGGCGCGCCCTGTAACGAGACCCGCTGGAGCCAGAAGTGGCAGTCGTCACGGCCCCTGCGCAGGGCCAGCCTCTCCCTGGGCTCCGGCTTCTGGCACGCCACCGGGAGACACTCGAGTCGGCGGCTGCTCAGGGCCATCCCGCGCCAGGTGGCCCAGACGCTGCAGGCCGACGTGCTGTGGCAGATGGGCTACACAGGTGGGCCTGGGGGCCGGGAAGGCCGCTTCCCTCTCCAGACCCGTGGCTGAGGGTGTGCCAGCTCATGCATCTGTCCTTCTGCAGGTTGAGCACTCAGCTGTCCCTTTGTCCTGCGTGTGGGTGACAGCTCCTGTCTTTGTCTAGTCCTGCTCACTTTTTGTGTCTTACTGTTTCTGAGGTGGTCAGGGCACGTTCCTTCCTTCAGGGCAGACACAGTGCTGCCCACGCCAGGGCTGACTGGCGGTCCAGTGGAGTTCTGTCATTTCCCAGGGAAGGAGGTCAGATCCAGAGACGTCACCTTGGTTTGGGCACAGACTCCCATGCAGTGGCCTGTGTGCAGTGTGGCTAAGTGATTGTCGAGGTTGTGATCTTTTGTTTCAGAACAGGAAACAGTATTAAAGACCGTTTCTTAGAAAATAGAACTCAGAACCAATCAAATGTTTTTTCCTACTGATTCATCATGGCAGAAAATTCCTGTTTTAACTGCTGTGGAAGTTTGGACCCTAAACATCAACTCATGTCTCTGGCCCCTCATATGTCACAGTTTGTCTTGGTGTCATTCCATTTCTCCTTGGCTTAGAGACCCAGAGACCTTACGCCTGCTCAGACTTAACACTCAGGAGACTGACATTTTATTAAATGATGATTTCCTTTTGACTTGCCTTTTTAGGGCAAAAGCTTCAGAAAACAGAAATTCTCTTAATCATCAGAAAAGCATTTTTTATTTCCCCCAAACTAGCTGTTTTTTAGTATTGTGTGTGCATTTTAAAAAAGGAAATGATATACTTTGATGGTTATTTCATTGTAATTGATTATTTAATGTAATACTGATATGTGAACACAACTCTTTTACTGGAAAGATATTTATGTATCAAGGCTTACTCCTGTTAGCTTTTGAATCATATGAGTATCTTGTATTTTTTTCTCTACATATTTTCTAGAATTTCTTGATCTGACAGTATCAATCATATTTCACATTGGAGCACATAGTTTTTGGCCAGTATCTGAAATAGACTTGTTATTATAGGAAAGTGTGTGGTACAGTGGTTTTCCTTTAAGTATGGTTTTCCCTGCGTGTAGGTGAAAGCTCCTGTCTGCAGAGCTGTTGTCATGAATAAACAGCACTGAGTCCTTGTCAGGAGGAGGAGCCGCCCCCCCCCCCCCCCCCCCCCCCCCGCCATGAGTGAGGGCCTTGTGGTGCTCTGCACTACTAGGGCCCCGCTAAGGGGAAAGGAGCCTGGAGAAAACGGCTTGAAGAGGACAGTCCATCTTGGGCGGAGGATTTGGGGGTGGTGGTTTCACCCCCGGGTGCGGGTGACAGTTGAGCGGTGGCCAGAGGGACCTCCTGTGTGTCTGTGGGTCTTCCTTAGCAGCTGGTGGAGGCCATTCTCAGCTGTCCCCTCTCTCTGGCCTCGGCTCAGCCAGGCCCTGGGCATCTCCCTACTGTGTGCATTCTGTGGGTGGGCTTTGCCCTGGGTCCCTTGGTGTTCTGTGTGGGTCCCAACGAGGAACGTATTTTATAGACAAAAATCCAGAAGAGTGGTTTCTCTGAACACGGTTCTGCTTTCTTCTTGGAATAAGGCACTAACGTAAGGGTTGCTGTGTTTGACACTGGGCTGAGTGAGAAGCACCCCCACTTCAAAAACGTGAAGGAGAGAACCAACTGGACCAATGAGCGAACGCTGGATGACGGTGGGCCTGAGAGACCTTTCTGGTTGCTCCCATCCTCCCTTTGATCAGCTGAGGGGGTTTTTCTCTAAATGATTAAATAGTCTATATAGATAGTTATTCAGACAAATTCAACTTGTTTTGTGCCTTTGGCAGAAGCTTTTCTAATTATTTCAGGAGGTTGGGAGGTGACTGAGGAGAGGGGTTTCCTGGTGGGAGGAATCCTTGCAGTTCTGGGGGAGCAGAAGCTGCTGGCCCCCCGAGGTGGGGCTGGTGAGGTGCAGGCTCTGAGTGGAGGCCCTGGAGAGGCACTGGGGACTCTGTCTTGGACTTGGAGAACGAGTCTCTTTGAATCGATGGCCCACATTATCAGCTGTGCTTCATGCCTTTTTCCTTTTGGACAGCAGGGCTGGGCCACGGCACGTTTGTGGCAGGTGTGATAGCCAGCATGAGAGAGTGCCAGGGATTTGCTCCTGATGCAGAGCTTCATATTTTCAGAGTCTTTACCAACAACCAGGTATGTGTTTTGAGGGCCCCTGAAACTTAAAGAATTGGTTTTAAAATGTGAAAAGTCGAAACTCCAGAAGAGACGTGCTGGTTTAAAGGCAGTGCACGTCCGTGATGCTGAGCATCTCCCAGCCCCCCAAGTGGCTTTGCCCTCCTCCCACCATCCCCTCCACCAGCCTCACCGGAACCCAAGACCCTGCTTCAGGGGTGTTCCTTGACCTCCCGTTTCTCCTGTCCACCACACCTTGGGCACACTTGTACTTGAGAATAATCCATGTTTGTGTTCTTGCTACTTTTCTGGACTGACCGCCTTGAGGGTCGCTTTGTGCCCAGCAACCAGCATCATGTTGGGTCACGAGGATTTAGAAGCTTGCTCCCTCCCTCTGCATTTGGAAACATTACTGAAAAGAGGGAGGGTCCTGGTTATTTATTTATTGGTAAAGTCTAATTTTTGCCCAGGTAATACATAGTTCACAAACATCCAGGGCACACAGGGATAATTCTCCCAACCCTCCCATCCAGCAGTTTTTTACCTCACTTCCCCATGTCCCCCATGTGATGGTTTCTTTTTTTCTTATATTCTCTCCTCCTAGAATCTCTTTTGCATATTCAAGCAACTGTAACTGTATTGTCTTGTTTAAAAGCCTTTAAAAAACACAATTCTGAATCATATTCTCTTTCTACAGTTTTTTTAAAAACATTTTGTGTTTATTCACATGTTTTTAATTTCTAATGTTCTTTATTTTTACCTGTGGATCTAAGTTTCCACATCATGTAATTTCCTTTCAGCATGAAGAGATGCCTTTAGTATTGCTTGTAATGTAGTCTGTTAGCTTTGATTTCTCTCAGGTCTAGTTTATCTGAAAAGATCTTTATTTCATCTTTATTCTCAAAAAACTATTTTAACTGAGCATCAAATTCTGGATTGAAAGTCTTTTTATTCCCTCCAGCACTTTACTCCATTGTTTCAGTCTGTTATTTTCTACTCTATTTAATTTTGTATCTTATAAAGCACCTGAATGGTGGTACATGAAGTAATTTAACTTTTGTGAGGAAGCTATGAAAGAAATAATAACTATCAGAGAAATAATTCTGTGAAATGACATTCAGTCTGTTTAGGAATAAAGAATATTAGACAAATATGTTAAACTGTTTGAAAACACTTAACTGAATAGATGTGTCTTAGGACAAGCCCTTCTGCAAGAGCGGCAACTAGAAGTTTGGGGTCTCCCCTGGGCAGGCAGGCAGGCCGTAAGGTCAGGCAGGTGCTGGACGTGAGACCCGGCAGGACAGGACCTGGGACCCCGCCCTCCCCAGTGTCCAGGCCCGAGGAGTGGAGGCTCTGGGTATAGTGGTGTACATGGGAGAGCCTTCGTGGTTCTTGGGACCTCTTTCTGAAGTTTAACGTGAATGCTTCATGCCACTAGGAGTCTGGTATTTGGAGACTTCCACTGCAATACCTAAAGCACTGTTTTCACATGGCCAGGTCTCCTACACGTCCTGGTTCCTGGATGCCTTCAACTATGCCATCCTGAAGAAGATTGACGTACTGAACCTGAGCATTGGCGGCCCCGACTTCATGGACCACCCCTTCGTTGACAAGGTTGGTCCTGCCTCTGCAGGGGACGGTGCTGGTTTGGTGGCAACTCCTGCTCTCCCGCTCCCCCACTTTGCTTGGTGTCTAGTGTGCTGGGGGCTTTGTCACCCACATGGGGACAGCTCTGAGGACGTGAGCTGTAGAGACTTGTGTGGGCAGCAGGTCATGGTGCTGTGTTGGTGCCTCTCAGCTGAGCACGAGGCCCGTCCCTTCTGGACATGTCAGGAAAGCCCGGGTCTGCGCTGAGCCACAGGGACCTGCGTCCTGGAGTCTCTCTTCCTGACACGCTGGCTGCCAGACATACCATGTCTCTACTTGCCCAGTGTTGCACTTCCAGGGGATCTCTTATTTTTAGTATTGTTTTTGAAAGTTGTGGTTATTTTTGGACAGTTATATGTTGATTGTCTAAAAGTGATGTCCTTTCATAAGTAAATGCTTGCTAATTTTTTAGGTGTGGGAATTAACAGCTAACAATGTCATCATGGTTTCTGCTATTGGCAATGATGGGCCTCTTTATGGGTAAGTATCTCTGATAAGAATAACCTTACAGGTATCTTTTTCCTTGAAATAACGGAAACACTGTTGTCTGTCTGTCTCTGTATTTTTCTGCACCTGTTTGTATCTATCTAAATCTTTGTGTTGTGGAAATTTTCAAAACACACAAAAAAGACTTAGTACTGAATCCCAGGTACCCACACACTCCAGTGGTTCTGACTCAAGGACAGTCTCATTTCTGTTTAATTTTTTTTTCACCTTTACTGGAAATAGCGATTTGGAGGCCTAACGTTTTTATTCTACTCTTTTTACTCCTACAAGCAGTCAGGAGAGTAAATCTGCTAGAAATAAGTGGGTTCCACGGTATTTATTGAGACCCACTGTGCAGAGGGCACAGGCTGAGGATGAGGAGGTAGATAAGACTAGACGCCTGCCTTTTTAGGAAAAGATGTGGCTACAATGAAACTAAGCATGCAGGCTGGCGTGACGGACCCAGGTGGGAGGGACCAGCTCAGGTGGGAGGGGCTGGAGAGCAGTGTCCCCGACACGTGGGTGCTGTGGTGCATCAGGTCACTTCAGAGTGGCTAGAGGTCCGGGCATTACTCACCGGTTCACAGGCGGTATATGTTAGAGATTCGAATTTCCTTTCTGCTCGTAGCTCTGAGTTTTATTCTGTAGATAACGTCTCTAGTAATGTCTTGGGCTGACACCCTTGGCATGGGGCATCTGCCATTGTCCTTGATGGGTTCCCGGGTTGGGTGCGGTTCAGTGCTGTGGCAAGGGGTTCGTGGTGATGCCGGGAAGGACCGAACACACGGTCCTGTCCCCGCGTGCCCCGGTCCAGGAGAGCCGCCGGCACAGCCGTGTGCTCGTGCCCCACAGAGCTTGCGTGCTGTCTCGTGTGGCCTCCTGGCTGTGTGGCTGCATGGGGCAGGCCTCGGGAGCCCTGACAGCATGTGTGAAACTGTCCAGGGCAGAGGATTAGGCTGAACTCTGTGAAATTAATGATGTTCCGGGTCACGGTTCCAGCCTCAGTTCCTTCATTGATCGCATTCTCCTTGTGTGGGTCCAGGTTGTGACTCACGAGTGTGAGTGGCAAAACACATCCCCAACTAAGTTCCACTGTGACAGACACCAGTTACCTAGCAGTCTCTCAGTAGGCGTTCCTGCCTTCTCTTTCTAATATTTCTCCGTTTACCACTCTCCCAGTTCTGATGTCCCTCCTTGAGGCCAGCCATCCACAGCTCAGCACCCCCAGGTTGTCGGTTTCCAGCCCATCCTCCTGCCTTCAGTCTCCCCAGCCCTCCCCTCCTTGCATGGGTGATGTGGGACGGAGCCAGGCAGGTCTGACTGTCCTTAGGCTGAGGGGCCCTTGCTTTCCTGAGGCCTGTCCACCCTGTGTGGCTCCAGAGGGCACGAGACCTTCCTCAGGGTGGCAGCTGTGAGGATGAAATGAGACATCCAAGGGAAAGCACCTTGAACACTGAGCCTCTGTGAGTGGTAGCTGTTCCTTTCTCCCCTTTTCTGGGTTTCTGTTGTTAAAGTGTAGTCAGGCAGTTTCCTTAACTAAGGATCTGCAGTGGGTTGTTACTCCCTGGTCAGATCTCAACTTCTCCTTGGGTTTCAAGGTCTTGTGTAGTCTAGCCTGGAGTCGGCAGACTTTCTGTGAAAGGAGCAAACAGTAAACAGTGGAGTCTCTGTGGGCCACATGGTTTTTGTTGCACCTGCTCACCTATCCTGGTAGTGTGAAGGTGGTGTGGGTGTGTGTGGATAAGTGGGCATGGCTGTGTCCCGGTAACACCTTACATAGGAAATTGGATGAGGGGCCTGGTCAGGCCCAGGCATAGTTCCACAGCTGTGGCCTCATTGCTCACTCACCTGTGCACGTCTTCCCCAAGTCCCGCTCCTCCCCGGGTCTCCCTGGGGACCCCACGTTTCAGTCGCCATCACCTGTTCCTGCTGCTGACTGCCCCTGCCGCCCCACACCCTTGGCTTGCCTTTCCATTTATACCAGCTCTTCCACATGCCGTCCTGACTGCTCTGTACACACTGGTCACTCTTCTGAAATCCTGTGACTCCTGTGGGCAGTCACATGTGGGAGCCTTTAATCAGAGAGCTGCTTGTGCTCAGCGTGTTAGCAAGGATCCCAGGAGAGGAGGCCCCGGTGTTGGACTTGTGTCTGCCCACGGAGCCTCATGTTGGGCGGGCCGAGGGTGGTACCTGGTCGCCAGGGTACAGCCTGAGTATGTGTGGCTTATTGCTGGGCATTGGGTAGGGCAGGGCAGGTGACCATAATGCACTAAGAAGCCAAGCTGTGTATTGTAGGCCTGACACTGCCTGATCGCCTCCACGGGTACCCTTTCCGAGAGGTCTCTGGGGTCCCCCGCCCTTGACACTTGGACTTCACAGTTCCTGGGAGTCTGTGCTGCACGTCCCCCTTTTCAGTGCCTCCAGAGCTGTGGCACTGTGTTAAGGGTTAAAGCTCACAAAGTGTGGGGTTGGCAGGGAGAGGGATAGCAGGAAGGTGGCATTCTTTGGTACTAGCTTGAGTGGGAAGTTCTGCGGGTGATTTCTGTTCTAATATCTGCTCTCTGATGTCACAGGAATTTGTAAATTTTCACTGTCAGCCAACTGAAAAATCACCGTTGGTGCCTTTGTACAACCAGCTGGTAGTGTGTTGGTGATGGGTGAGCTAGGGAGGCGATGCCAGAATCGACTCTGTGGGTTAAAACAGTTGAATCCTGCTGATGTCATTTCAGCTGCATGGAGCCAGCTGTGGTTCAGGAGTTCATTTACTGGTGGTGGAGCTGAAATAGACAAAGCTCCATAATTGGTGGTCTTATACTTTCAAAAAGTTCAGCTTCGTCTTGACTTCCACCTTGACTCCATAGTGTAAGCGGTTTTGTCACTCCCTGCTTCGCCGTCATTTCTTTGTAGATCTCGTGCCCTTGAGGTGCTGGGGAGAACTGCACGGTCTTCCCTGTGCATCCGTGTCGTCTCCCTGAGGCGCTCAGGCTGCTGAGAGATGAGTGGCCCCCACAGTTGCCCTGAGGGAGGGGACTCCTGCCCGAGACCAGTTGAGAGCTTTGTCTCTGACGGTGGCAGGGATACGTGTATGGCTGTGGTTCCTCGCTGGATCTGGCCTCAAGCTGGGGAGGCAGGAGGACGCACTTGCAGCAGTTGGGAGGTGATGTGAGGGTGTGTACATAGGTGGTTCCGTGATGGTGACTGGTCCTGTGAAGCTCAGAGGGAGTGTTCCTTCATGCCTGGCAGTAGTGAGGGAGGTGTGAGCCTGGGACAGGAGGGTGGTAAGCCGACAGGGAGGGAAGGACGGAGAGGAGAGGGTGCCCAGGTGTGAGGAGGTTGAGCCGGCAGAGGCGGCGGTGAGCGGGGCAGGGCCACAGCCACATGCCATGTCGCAGGAGCACCTGCTGCAGACTCAGACCGCGCCCTCGTTTGAATCTTTCATTTAAAAAGGGTCCTCTCCCCTTGTGTTTTTGTGCGTCCATACAGCACTCTCAACAACCCTGCTGACCAGATGGATGTCATCGGAGTGGGTGGCATTGACTTTGAGGACAACATCGCCCGCTTCTCCTCTCGGGGAATGACCACCTGGGTATGTGGGGCTCCTTTCCTGCTGGAGTGTGTGTGCGCGTGCATGCATGTGTGTGTACTTCCATCAGCTGTAATTATGCAGCTGGCTCACCCTCCAGTCTGAGGAGATGCTTCCTCAGATGGCAGCCGGGCACCCTGACCTGTACCCGCTGTCCTCCTGGTCCTCTCACCCACCTGCTGTGTCCTTGGCCTTTATCTAGGCAAGTGTTTTAATGGCATTTTGAGAAATGTTCCTGAATAATCTGCGCAGCTGCAGGTGAAGACATCTTTTCTCAGTGTCCCACGTGTGCAGGTCCAGAGTCTCATTTATATGTGGTGGCCAGGAAGGAGTTTTCACTTCACATGTGTCCTTCTTTCTTCCAGAATATAAGTGCCAATGGAATTCTCATTTCCCCCAGTTTCTGGGAAGTTTAAGAGAGTTCTCAGTTAAAATCTTATCCTAGGTTGCTTGTATGGCTACACTGACTGTTCTAAGTCGTTCTTTCCCTTCTGGTGATAGATTGAAATGACAGTCATATCATGTAACTTTTTACCTTATTAAGAAAATGTGTCTTTTTTCCCCTAATTTTTAATTTTAACTTGCTGATTTTTCTAACATATTTCTAGTTTTTAAGTCATCTATAAATCAGTTTCTAGTCTTGCATGTTAGCAAAATTTTAAATATTCATTTTTTAAAGACTGTAGAGCATTGCATTATGTTGGTCATTATAAAAACACAAAAATAATTTTATTTTCTGTATGATCATTTAAGCTTCTTCTGAATTGCAGTGAATTTCGGATGAAAACCAGCACCATGCTCAGGCTACACTATTTAGCTGATGTCGTTTCTGGTTTCATTCACTCATAACTGCTCAGGGCTGTGTGATCACGCGGAGGCCTGGTAGAGACCATACTGCTGTTGTTACAGGAGCTGCCTGGAGGCTATGGCCGTGTGAAGCCTGATATTGTCACCTACGGCGCTGGAGTGCGGGGCTCGGGCGTTAAAGGAGGGTGCCGGGCCCTCTCAGGGACCAGCGTGGCTTCCCCAGTGGTGGCTGGTGCTGTCACCTTGCTGGTGAGGTGAGTGTCACTTGGTTGGGAGGGGTGGGCAGCAGCAGGCCAGGAACTGAGTCCTGCTGCTCACCAGCTTGTCACGGGGCCTAAGCCCGTCTCTGCAGCGGAGCCGGGGTCTGTGTCTTGACAGTTCTCGTGGGTGTTTGGTGAGAGAATGGAGCTTTCTGGTCTCCTGCTGTTAGGAGCGGGAGGGGAGGCCTTGGTGCCTTCTGTTCCCAGCCCCGCGGCCTCTCTGAGGAGAATGTTTTCAGGGAGGACGCCTTTGCTTTTCTCCTTCCGGCAGCAGGGAGGGCACCTCTGGGGGTCAGCAGTGCTTTAGTGTGAGAAGCAGCTCGTGCCGGGCCACGGGGAAGCGCTTTCTCGGCTTTGGCCTTAGAGCCCCGGGAGCAGCCAGAGCTGGGGCCTGGTCTTGCTTGGTCGGCAGGAGGAGCAGGGCATCCACCTGGGGCTGAGCTGTGAGCAGTTCTTGTTTCTGCCAAAAGTTCCACTTTATTCTCCTCACATCTCCTGAAGTCAGCGTCCCATCTAGACCTGTTAGAAAAAAACGCACTAACACTCTTAAGACCAGCCGTCCTCTTAGAAAAATACTTAGCAGTTGAGGAGAGTGAATTTTTCTTTACTGTTTACTGGATTTCTCTGCACTTAGGGATCCACAGTTTACTTGTATTTATAACGTGTAGGTAGGTACACAAACGCATGTGTTTTAATGCTGGTGTTTAATGCAAGCGAGAGGGTCTGGGTGCTGCTGCCTGAGTCCAGCTGTGTTCTGATGATGAGCCCTCCACCAGACTTGACCCACCAGGGTGGCGCATCCCACACAGGCCTCCAGACAAAACAGGCCTGGGGGGCAGTGGGCTTCCCTCCTGGCCATGCTTCTAGGCCACGCAGCATCGAGTGCCTGCTGAACCCATCTCCATCCTCCCCTTCTCCCAGCCAGGCTGTGTCCACCTGTCAGGAATCTGTAACTCCTACCTGCAACCTCTGAGGTCAGCTGTATTGAGTTAGTTGGAAAGTATGTTTTCCTGGTCAGTTTAGTATGAGCCCAGAGTCTGTGTTCTCACAGCCACTTGGAAGGAGGTAAGTGGTCAGTCCCAAGGCAGCAGCAGAAATGAGCATGTTTGCCCTTGTCTTACATGAGTTTTACTGAAGATCCCATCCAACCATCAAGGTTGGAGGTCGTGTGATTGCACTGCTGCGGATTAGGGATGGTCTGCTTTTCCTTCTTTTGCTAAGAGCAGATGAGCAAATATGCACTTCTCCCCCCAGCACAGTCCAGAAACGTGAACTAGTGAACCCAGCCAGCATGAAGCAGGCCCTGATTGCGTCCGCCCGGCGGCTTCCCGGTGTCAACATGTTTGAGCAAGGTCACGGCAAGCTGGATCTCCTCCGAGCCTATCAGATCCTCAACAGCTACAAGCCCCAGGCCAGGTCGGTGTGCCCTCCTCTCTCACAGGCCTTTCTCCTCTTCCTGGGCTCCCTCAGCACAGGCTATTTGCCTCAAGACAGAACCTACCCCACCACACAGGCTTGGGGGCCTTGGGGAGCTTCCTGTTGCTGCTTCTGCTGGGGCATCAGGACTGCTCCCCACTTCCCCACATCCTGCTGTTTGTTATGTAAGCCATTTGAAGTAATGAATTCCTGCTTTTTTTTACTTAGTAAAACTTTTTTTTGAAGTAACCTTAAACTTACAGAAATTTGCAAAAATCATATGGACGTTCTCATATATCGTACATCAGGACTCCAACCCTGCACTGGCTTTTCTGGTGTTAGCATCTTATGTAACCATTGCACACGCTGCATAGCCTGGCAGTTAACACTGATGGATTACCATCTACTAACCTGCAGGCTGTGTTTGGATATCGCCAAGATTTTTCCCATCCCGTCCTCGGCCCGGTCCAGGATCCAGGCCGGCATCCACGTTGCGTTTAGTTGTCATGTGTCCTTGGTTTTCTTCAGGTGGGCTCGTTGGCTCAGTGCCCTTCCTTTTATTCTTGGTGGTGCTTGCCTGCATCCTGAGGTTTAGGTGATGTGTCAGGCTGGACCCTCCAGGAAGCGGACGCCAAGAGAGCTCCTGGGGGAGGGGCCTATGAAGGATGAGGGGGAGGAGGCGGGAGAAGTGGGGAGAGGACCCTCAAGCCAGCACAGGTCTGAAATCTTTCCTCGTCCCGGAGAATCCCTGAATTAAGGTCACCGTTAGAGGAGGCTGAGTCCCCAGGGCTGGGCTGCTCCGGTGCCCGCTGCGCTCGGTCCCTGGCACAGGTGTGGTGGAGTGTCTGGGGCGTCGGTCAGCGGGGTTGGGCAGCAGGAGGTGCGGTGCCAGGTGTCCACTGCAGGGGCTCTCTGTCTCTGTGACTGCAAAGTGTCTTGTGGGGGCACACTTGAAGATGATCTTGTTTCTTGCCAAACCTTCCATCACTACGTTTAGTATCCTTAGATGGTTCTTTCTTCTAATGGTTCTTATGTAGAGATTGCCCCTGGCGATTTTCTGCTTCTCTCATTCCTTGTGCATTTATTAGCTGAGATTCTGCTATAAGGAAGCGCTGTCCTCCTCTTGTTTATTATTTCAGTTGTATCAGCATGGACACAGATCCTTGTTCACTCTGACTATAATCCATTAATGTCTTTGTTTATTTCATTGCTCCTGCTGTCCCAGATTTGGCTCTCTGGAGCTCCTTCTGTTTGGCTCCTGTGTCTTCTCAGTGTGTCTCCATCATTGTCCACTGGCAGCGTTTCTGTGCCCACTGTGGGTATCGGTGCTTGCCCAAGCAGCGCTGGTCCTTCAGTTGGAGAGTGGGGTTTAGAAATGGACACCTGGCTGCAGGTGTGCTCTTGGTGGCTGCGCTCCTGCTTGGTTCTGGGCCCTTTCTGCAGCCCGAGCTGGCAAGTGTCCGCACACACACTCCTGTGCCTCATCTGTGTCTGTGATGCCGCCTGTCTCCTGTCCCACCCACGGCCCCCCACCGGCTCTTCTCGCAGGCTGTCCTTCTCCAGCAGCAGGCAGCCTGGCTGTCACTCTTCACCATGTCTCTTTGATGACATGTGTGGTCCTAGGACGCACATGTGGGAAGTGTTAGAGCTGTAACTCGTACCCTGGTAAACACAAGTTCGCTCAGTAGAGGATGGCAGTTGTGGGTAGTTCTTTTTACATTTATAGAATGTAATCATATTGTCCGTGACCTCAGTCCGTTTCTTTCCTTCCTCCCCACCAGGCCCTGTCAGTCTGATTTTGCTGCTTATTTTCAGTATAGTTGAGTTCATTGGTTAGTATGTGTATTTCTTTCTGGATTCCCACTACATTCTGGTTGATTTCAGTTAGTTATGTATTATATTGTGAAAGAGGATGGTGACTCCAAGGTCTGAACCGCGCAGAGTGCACCTGGCCAGGTGTCCTCCCATCCCTCTGTTCTGCTCCCCCGCCCCCACAGGTAACAAGGCCAGGTGTTTTTGGTTTATCCTTCTTGCATTTCTTTTTTCACAAATGAGCAGATACATGTCTATCTTGTATATCCCCTTTGTTACATGAGGGATACATTATTGTAAATACTCTTTTGTACTTTTTTCATGTAACAGTATCCTGGAAATCACTTTGTATTCATTCACAGAGATCTTGCTTCTCCTTTTTTATAGCTTCCTAGCGTGGATACCTTTGTGTATTCAAGTACATGTCTCTATATGGGCATTTAATGTTTTCAGTATTTTGTCATTTTTAGCTGCTTGTGTCTGTGTGTCCTAGTTTTGTTGGAAGTGTGTCTGCAGGAAGATTCCTAGAAGCAGGGTTGCTGGGACCAGGCCGTGAGCAGAGAGTGCCTGGTGGGTACCGCTGGCCTGTCTGCCCAGAGCTGTACTTTATGCATGTCTGACACATGGGAAGTGCTCCCTCAGAGTTGCTTTTATTTGCAGATCTCAGGTTTTGAGTGAGTTTGAACACTTTTATCTGTAGGTAAGAACTTTTTCTGTATCTTTCCTGTGAAGTGTTCATTTTTTTCACCCATTTTTCTTTCTTTCTGGGGTTTTTGTCCCTTGGTTTAAGTGTTGTTTACATATTAGGGCAAGTAACCCTTTGCTGCAGGTATTTCTCCCAGTTTGTTAGCTGCCTTTTGTCGTAAAAGTGTTTCTGGCTGTGCGGTCTTTTCTATTTTAACTGCTGTGCTAGTTTGTCTGTTGTTTTTGCCCCTGGATTTTGAATCACATGCCCTGAGGTAAAGGAGAGACTCACCCATGTTTTCTGCTACTTGTTGCTTTCTTTTATTTACGTGAGACTCTGCTCCATTTGGGGTTTACTCCAATATGTATGGTGTGATTTGTGAATCTAATTTTGTATTTTACCAAATGGCCATTTATCCCAGGTCCAGTTATTGAAAAGTCCATATTTGCCCCATGGCTTGAGACTGAGTCCAGGTCTTCCCTGGGGCCGCTCATGCACTTGTTCTTCCCCAGCTGCAGGCTCCAGGCTTGTGGGGCAGAGGTGATGCCTGCGCACCCCACGGTGCCGTGGGCGAGGCCGGCTGGCCTGGCGGCGGCCTCACTGCCGGGAGTGCTGTGAGGCCAGGTTCCCGGGCCTGGCTGAGACTCAGGCCTGCCCTGACAACTCTTCTGCGGTTGTGCCGCGTCATTGCTGTTCCCGACTCTGTCTCCTGCAACACTGTCCTGTCTGTTTCAGTTTGAGCCCCAGTTACATCGACCTGACCGAGTGTCCTTACATGTGGCCCTACTGCTCCCAGCCCATCTACTATGGGGGCATGCCGACTATTGTCAACGTCACCATCCTCAACGGCATGGGAGTCACGGGGAGGATCGTGGACAAGGTGAGACTGCCCTTTGGCTGGCGGGAGACCTAGATGTGGCCCAGACTTCCTCCTGTCTGCGGCTGGGGTGGGAAGCAGTGGTTTGCTCTCCTCTGAGGCCTTTGCAGATAGGTCAGAGATACAGTGATGAGACCAATTTGCTATGCTTGTACTTGGCATCTTGAGTTTGGTTCCTGAATCAGCTAATTGCATTTGAGTCCTCATTTTAACAGTTAATCACCAATAATTAAAGGCCCACTTGTAATTATTTTATTGTTTAATGAGTACAAATGGGTGTTTGTATTTAGAAGGTATGGTCTTTATTTGAATTTTGTTTATATAGTTTGTTTTATACTTACTATATAAACAGTATCACAACAATAAAGGATAGGGAAAAAGAACAGAAAAGTGATTTTAGCCCCAGACATGAATAGAACCACTATTAAAAAGAGAGTTCAGGTCATATTTTGTAACAGATTACTGTAGCTGTTTAAATAAGTGTACGTAAATCGCTTCGGTGCCTCCCAGCACCATCCCCTCCTTGCCCCGTGTCACTTCTGAGCCCTTCCTTTCCCGGCTCCCTTTCGTCTGGTTTCTGTTTATTCTTGGCTGTGCTCGCTCTCTGTCGCTGGGCCCAGCCTTTCTCTCGCTGCCGCCAGCAGGACTGCTCCCTTCGGTGGCTTCTCGTTGCAGAGCGCGGGCTCCGGTGCGTGCAGGCTTCAGTAGCTGTGGCACATGGGCCTGGTCACCCTGAGGCACGTGGAAACTCCCCGGACCAGGATTGGTGCAGAATGTCTTGATGGCAGGATTTCACTTTTCATGAAGATACCACAGATAGTTTTTTTCTTTTCCTTTTTTTGGTTACTTTTTGGCCACAGTGTGTCATGTGGGGTCTTAGTTCCCTGGCCAGGTGTTGAACCCTTGCTCCCTGCAGTGGAAGCATAGTCTTAACCACTGGACTGCCAGGGAAATCCCCAGAAAGTACATTTCTTTTGATTTTGTAAGATTAATAAAAGTCAGTTGCCTAGGAGGGGGAAAAAAAAGAATCTTTTCTGTCCCTTATCTGAAAAGGATATTTTTAGTTATCTTTGTGTGGTAGGCAAAAATTTAGTGGTTTTTTTTTTTTTCAGTTCTCACATTATAAGCATTTAAAAATGTTACTATATATAAATGCTAATGATCTTTTTAATGGTTGTTTAATATTGCATGGAACTGCTAAGTCATAATTTGCTTAATATTCTTACTTGAACAAGGTTGTTTCACATGTAAATACCTCACTGAATATCTTTGTATATTTAGTTTTCTTTTGTTCTGAATTATATCCTTAACATAATTTCCCTGGGTTAGAATTCCAAGTAAGAGGACATGAATGTTACTGTGGCTCTCGGGACATAGTAACAGACTGTTTCCAGAAGAAGAGGTCCATCACCTGAGGCTGCCACTGATGGTGTACAGAGTGGGGGGGTGTCTGGTGGTACATTCTTTTTTCCCAATTGCATGAAATTTTAAAAAACGGAGATAAAATCCACATGCTATGAAATGCTACCCTTTTAAATTGTGCATTTCAGTGGTTATTAACTATATTCGCAAGTAGTTATGTAAGTCTCATACTGTGTAATTCTGGAACATTTTCATCACTCTGAAGGAGAGACCCTTGTTACCACTTCCCATTTCCTCTGCCTCAGACCCTGACAACTCCTGATCCACTTGGTCTTCGTGGAGTTACCTTTTCTGGATGTTTCCTGTGAACGGAATCATATGTTTCATGGTCTTTGTGACTGGCCTCTTTCATTGAGTGCGGTTTTTAAAAGGCTTATCCACACTGCCATGTTATCAGTGCTTCACTCCTTCTCGTGACTGATGGTGCCTTATTATGTGGATAGACCCCACATTGTCAGCTGATGAATTTTTTGTTTTTATGTGGTGCATCTTATAACTTTAAACCTACAGGGGATAGTGAGTACCTTGTTTAATGTGTACTTTTTTGGTTATTGATAAGGCGGGGATCTGCATGTTTGTTTCTGATTGTGTTTCTCTTGTGTGAATTAGCTTTTCATTTCTTGACCCATTTTTCACTAGAATCTAGGTTGTCCTTGTCATCTTTGCACCATTATTGTGTGTCATGCTGAAAGATTGCCCAAATTACTGGTTTCTTATCTCTTTAATATTAGAGGTGGCTTAAAAATTTGGGGTGAGGGTGTGGTTTGATAAAGGTTTAACTTTTTCGTGTAGTTGTTGTTGTCATCTTTTATGATTTTTTTCTGTTTCAAAAACTAGAAACTCATCTCTCCAGAAATATAAGAAAATTTCAGTTTTATTTTCGACTCACTTTTCTTTTATGCTTGTTAAATATTTAATGTTTTCATCTGTGTTGAGTCAATCTGATGTGTGTTACAAAAGATGGATGAGAGTTCATTTTTTTCTCAATTGTTAACCAGCAGTCTCAAAAGAACTTATTCAGAATCCCTGTCCTTTCTCATTGTCTGTGATGCTGTATCCCATGAATATTTTTCTTCTTTTTCAGTTTTTTTTTTTTTAATATGCTTACTCTCCTGGGAAGTATATTACTGTTCTCTAGCTTGTGAGGGAGTTAGCTTGAAGTACTGGTTCATTGTGAGAGCCGCTGTCTGTCTCCCCTTTCAGGCTTCCCTTCTTCCTCGAGCCTGGAGAGCCTGGCGGGTGGTCTCCTTCACAGCGTGGCCAGCTCTTTTTGGGGCTCCTGGGCCCCCTGCCCACCCAGTCACTGGCCTTGGAATCTGATTGGTCACAGTTTATATCCGTGTCTTTTTTATTATTTTATTTCTTTTAAGTAGTCTGGTTCTTTAAACACATAGCTGAGATCTAACCCCACATTTGAGCATTTTCTTTTATGTTAGTTCTCTGTCAGAAGCAAGTTCTTTGTCAAACCATGTGTGTCCCCACCCCTCCCTTTTGTAAAGCTTGGAGGAGAGTAAATTTGTTTTTAAAACTGAAGTTTGTCAAAACTAGTGTTTCTAGGCTGTTCTAATGGATGATGGTCCAGACCCTGCGCGGGCGCCCTGGTGGCAGGCTGCTCAGCGTCTGCGTACGTCTCCCTCCACCTGTCCAGTGGGGTGTTCCTCAGACACCGACTTGGGTAAGCTGGGAACCGAGCGTCTCACGCGGGCCTCTGCTTCCTCCTGCAGCCCGAGTGGCAGCCCTACTTACCGCAGCACGGAGACAACATTGAGGTCGCTTTCTCCTACTCCTCAGTGCTGTGGCCCTGGTCTGGCTACCTCGCCATTTCCATCTCTGTCACCAAGAAGGCCGCCTCCTGGGAAGGCGTCGCGCAGGGCCACGTCATGGTCACCGTGGCTTCCCCGGCAGAGGTGGACGTATGTGTGCCTGGGGGGCTAGTGGGAAGGTGGGCTGGGCTGAGCGCCGGGCACTCGGGTATGAGACACAGGCCGTGTGGGTCCTGGCCTGGCGAGCACCTGGGAGCACAACCTGCACGGTGAAGAGACACAAGTGGGCTGTTGTGTGCCCTGTTTCTGGCGTAAGACGTTTCTTCTGAGCAGAAGGGCTGTTTCAGGATTCTTTTCTTCCTTCAGTCAAACAGTGGTGCAGAACAGACGTCCACAGTGAAGCTGCCGATCAAGGTGAAGATCATCCCCGCCCCTCCCCGGAGCAAGCGTGTCCTCTGGGACCAGTACCACAACCTGCGCTACCCACCCGGCTACTTCCCCCGGGACAACCTGAGGATGAAGAATGACCCTCTGGACTGGTGAGCCCATCACCCCTGCCCTGTCCTTCCCCGGCCAGGCTGGGGTGGGAGCGAAGGTGACCCGCGGCAGGCATGTAAGGCTGCCTGTGTGGCCACCACGGTTCATTGTCAGCATCTCTGCATGCCCATGTTGAGTTTGTGCAGCACAGGCGACTGCTTGCTGGCCTTTTACATCTGTGCCACCACTAAAGTGATGCTTTGGTGCACTTTACAAAACATGTCTTTGGCCGTATCTTCTCGTCATTTTCTCTCCTTCATGTCTATGCTGTGCGGGTGATTTCCTGTTATCACTACTTTATATGCAGCCCAGGGCGAGCTGGTCTGAAAGGCTGGCTTTCGTGCCAGTGGACCAGCCCTCTGGGCGGTGAAGCTGTTCCTTTGGAAGTGAACCCTGCAGCCATGTGGCCTTCAATCACTGGGAGGGTTAGTGCTGGGCTTCCTCTGTTTCAGGAATGGTGACCACATCCACACCAACTTCAGGGACATGTACCAGCACCTGAGGAGCATGGGCTACTTCGTTGAAGTCCTCGGCTCCCCCTTCACGTGTTTTGATGCTAATCAGTACGGTGAGTGATGCGAGGTGCTGGCAGGCTGCCCCGCTTGGCTGGGGATGGGTGGGACAGGCTAGGGTCTATGCTCCTGATGTTCAGCTGAAATGTGAAACCCTCAGGATTACTGGGGACAAGAACATTGGTACACTTTCGTTATGTTAGCATCAACATTATTGACTGGGTGATTTTTGCAGAAAGTTACGCCTGTGGCCTATGATTTGTTATGTAAGTAAAAACATTCTGGTCAGTAATGTTTGAGTAACAAAATACGTATTAATACGTTTCTGGTCAATAAGTTGATTTTTTTTTTTAATCAAACTCTCGCACAGAATTTTGCTTCTTTTTGAGTAAGTGAGATATCCTCACGTAGGTCATCACCAGTGGAACAGGCCACAGCTGGCCAGTGGCCAAGTGCTTTCGGACCCTGATCCTTTCTTTTACACTCCCTTCTGACATGGAATAGGGGCACAGGACAAAGTATTAGAAGCCAGTAGCTGGAGATACTGAGGCCAGTGTAAAACCACATGTCTGAAATGGTGAGATGGCCGTTCTCACCCCTGTCCCTCAGGAACGCTGCTCATGGTGGACAGTGAGGAAGAGTACTTCCCGGAGGAGGTGGCCAAACTGCGGAGGGACGTGGACAACGGCCTTTCACTCATTGTCTTCAGTGACTGGTACAACACATCCGTGATGAGGAAAGTCAAGTTTTACGATGAAAACACCAGGTACTGACACGAATTGGTATTTGGATAAGAAATTTGACTTTATAGGAATTAAATCCCATCCAGAAGAGACCTAGAGTGATGACCTTTCTGGCCATCAGGCAGGTTCAGACGTCTGGTTAGGGCAAGCTCTCCTTTGGCAGAGATGCTCTTGAAAGTCAGCTGCTCATTGAACCAAGTACTGGTTGAAAGGGTTCATTGTTTTTGTTGATCTTAAGACACTGGAGCCTTAAATTTCTGTTTATTCTTTTCTGTTCTTCCATCTCCCCTTTACTATATATGTTTAAATGCACCAAAAGAACTGTTATTTAAAGAAACCTTGCAGTAGATTGGTTATGGATGACAAATTTCCAGTGTATTATGAATGTCTCATCCTTATGATACATGTTCTTTCTTTGGAGTCTGTGACTTGAACTTCATAAGTTTCCTTCTTCCTTTACTGACCCTCTCAAGGTCTAGGCTGTATATGCAGTGTGTTTATGTTTTTGTGTGTGTGTGTTTGTTAAATGTGGTGCATTTCATGAAATAAATTGGGCTTCGGTTTATTCTGTACACTGGTTGGAGCATTTACATTGTGCTGTTACTCAAACCAGGAGAGTTAGTTTTAGGTGAAGCCTAGTGTAGCTGGAGTGGCCTCTGGTGGGAGAAATTGATTTTTTCACAAAATATGACGGGTTTGTGGGATGCCTCAAGTGCTTCACGAAGGCCCTGTCCCTCATAGGCAGTGGTGGATGCCGGACACCGGAGGAGCCAACGTCCCAGCCCTGAACGAGCTGCTGTCAGTCTGGAACATGGCGTTCAGCGATGGCCTGTACGAGGGGGACTTTACCTTGGCGAATCATGACAGTAAGGTTTTGTGTTTGCTTTTAGTATGGCTCGTCATTCCCAGAGGTGGGCTAGCAGATGCCATGTGTCTTTGAAGTCTTGACTTTCAGAGAGAGAGAAAATAATGTGCTGTCACCTAAATATGCAAGGCCTGTGGAGAGAACTGTGCAGTGTCTTCACAAAGACACCTCTAATTCTGGGTGCTCCCCCTAGTCTTTGTCCAGATTTTTTAAGATGAAATACTTCCTGCCAGCATTCCTAGTTTTGGTTCTTTGTGTCCTGTATATTCCCAAATAAGGAACACTCCCCAGGTCTCTGATTATTTATGAAGTTCTATTTATGAAATAACGTTGCATACATCATGTAAGAAGTATCCCACCGTCCCCCTTTGTTCTGGTGACTAGTTTCTGAAACAGCATCTTGAGCACTATTGTCACCTACTGCTCATCCTGACTTAGGTTGTCCCGAGGCTGACAGCTCCAATTTCTTTAATCTGCCCAGAAACCTTAGATTAATAGCATAATTTAGCTTGAATTTTGAGATTATTACTTGTAGTTTGTGTGACCAGGCAATAATAGTAGCTCCTCTCTTAAGATTAGGAATGGCTTTAGTAAATATATAATGTCTAAAGCGTGCATCCAGGTAAATGAGCAGCTGCTGCTGAGGGCCTTCACTGTTTCCAGGTTCTAACTGAATGGCTGTTTATTCTAGTGTATTACGCGTCAGGGTGCAGCATTGCTAAATTTCCAGAAGATGGCATCGTGATAACACAGACATTTAAGGACCAAGGTATGGAATATGCTATTTATATGCTTTTTGGTTTCTCTCTTTCTTTCTTCTTAATTTTTTAATCACAGTTTTATTACATGTAATTCACCTACCATATGGAGGAGGGCATGGCAACCCACTCTGGTTTTCTTGCCTGGAGAACACCATGGACAGAGGAGCCTGATGGGTTACAGTCCATGGAGTCGCAAAGAGTTGGGCCTGACTAAAACAGCTTAGCGTGCATGCGTACACCTACTGTAACATTCGCTCTTTTAAAGTCTACAGTTCAGTGATTTTTTTGTATATTCACAAGTTGTGCAGTCATCACCACCACCTAGTCCCAGAACATTTTCATCACCAGAAAATAAATTCATTCTCCATTAGCAGTTTGGATTTTTAAAAAATTCATCACAATGTTTGTATGGTACTTCAGGTAAGACATCTGTGTGATGGTTCTAGAGGTACCTAGGAAGGTTCAACCATCTCTTGCTGATAATTAGAATACATGGGTAGTGAGCACTGCAAAGTAAGTTGACTTTCCTATAGGAGAAGAGGGTATTGGTAAGGGTTTTTTGTGTTTTTTTTTAAACTACCTTCAAAGTTGCTTGAAATTTTTGTTACTATTTATGAATTGTTCTACTCTGTGATTGCCAGATAACTAAAATTTTAGAGAAATGTTGACTGTTTTGAATATCTTAACTATGTGAAGATAAAGAATATTGTAATACAAAGTCATCTCATAAATTCTCTGAAGGATTAGAAGGGAGGAAAGGTCTTTGCTTTCAGTTCCTCTTTTCTAACCCTGGAAGGTCAGCCATGCTGTGTCCCTAGCGTCGGTGCTGTGACCGTGCTTGGCGCGCAGAGCAGTCAGGGTGCAGGGGGAGCTGGGGAGCCTCTGCCCTTCCTGCAGGTGCTGCCACCCCTGTCCTGCCCGGGGTGGTCATCCTGCAGTCCCGTGCCCCAGAGCCGGCTTCCGCACCCTGTGTCTCTCACCTGCGAGGTTATCACGTGACCACGTGATGGATACTTGCAGATTGGGTCCATCTCCTTGTGCAGCTTGATGTTTCTATTGTGTTTCAGAATGGCAGGCCCGTTCGTTGTGATGTTTGTCATTTTCTCTAGTTGAAATCAGGGACAGTTTCATTAATAGAGAATGACAAGAAGTCAGGATTTTTCACTCATGTGTTTGCATTTGCAAGGTGAAATTTACTGCTGTGTTGTCTGGAAGGGGCTCCTTCTTTCCAGTCAAGAAGTCAGTCAATGAGTAGTTCTCTGTTCATAAGATTATGTTTTAACTTTTAAGCACATGTATGGTCCTGTCTTCCCAGTCCCCTGGCACAGTGTACTGTGGCTTAGTGATTCTTTCTGAGCTCCATTGTTCACCAGGCCGTGTTGCTTCTGGACACCCCCTCCGCTCCCGGGTGAAGGCCGTGAACTCCTTGTCAGCCTCTTGGTATCTGGTATCTCTTCATTTTGCGGGGAGAGGAAGTAGGTTAAGGGTGCATACTTTACTTTGGTGTTCTGCTTGTCTGAAAATAAAGATTAATTACCTTGGAATCCTTTTTAAAGGGCTTTTTATTTCCAAACAGGCTTTAAGTTGCTTGAATAATCTTGTGGGTACAAAATAGGAATTTAAAAATCTGGGTTATGCTGGATCAAAAAGGACCCTATTGTTAGAGGCAGAACTCTGTCAGACCACGAGGCCAGGCTGCAGTGCTGTGTGCACGTTCCCTGCTTCATCTGTTCCACTGCCCTGTCTCTCCCTCTGACAAAGAAAATCCTGTGTTCCCTTCCATGGGATTCCTGGGGGCTTATGTGCAGAGAATAGGAAGCACTGAGTTCCTGTAGCCACATGTTTTAGAGTGGCCGACGTGGTAGATGCTGGATGCAGGTGTGCGTCATCTCAGTGCACGGCCGCGCTTGCTTTAGGGTCCCAGACTCTGTTTATGAGCTGGTGTCACTGGCAGCAGCTGCCATGGTGTCTGTGCAGTGTCGTCTTGGTCCAGTTGATGTTGTGAATTGTCGGTTTGGGCAGAGGCGAGCAGCTCTGCTGTTGGAGCATTTATACTGTGTTTGTGAGACTCATGTAACAGATACCTTAAATCAGAAATACGTGGGCATGTGTTCTAAAGATGAGTGTCGTCATAGCGTTTGTTACTAAACATGAAGTCTGGGTATCAGTGTGTATAACTGTGCATAGGTACCTGTGTGTTGAGGGGGCGCTGCCCCTTGTGTGTGTGTAGTCTGAAGACATAGCCTATCAGCATAATAAGAAGGGACAAAAATTTGTGCTTGGGGGATGAAAAGAGAGAAGTGATGCCTTTAGGACTGTGAATACTGTGTATCATCATTTTACGTGAAAATGGAAAAAGGAGGATTATGGGAATATAGACACACACATATGCGAATTTCGCTACAACCCAAATTAGTGGCACTTTATACTTTGTTTTCTTATCCTAAAAGTTTGCACTGTTGGGACTGCATGTTTTACCTTGGTGTGGTTTTTTTCCCCTGTTTTGTCATGTGGACTAAACAGCAAGTCGGGGCAGCTGGGACGTCCTTCATTCCCCCGCAGAGGTTCTCACTCCTGTTTTGTTGTGTTGTTTCAGGACTGGAGGTCTTGAAGCAGGAAACGGTGGTGGTTGAAAACGTCCCCATTTTGGGGCTGTACCAGCTCCCAGCTGAGGGCGGCGGCCGTGTCGTGCTGTATGGAGACTCCAACTGCTTGGACGACAGTCACCGGCAGAAGGGTGAGCGGTGGTGCGGTTGAGCGGGTGGGTTCGGTGGCCGTGACCTTTTGCACTTTCTGCGCTGGTCCCCAAACAGGCCCCCATGAGACACTAGTAAATAGGTAGGGGCTGCTCGGGGAGTTTTGATAGGTATCTTGGGCTAGACATGTTTAATAAGCAAAACAAAACTTTGTGGCCTTCCAGAGGCTGGCAGATGGCAGACCCACCACGTGTGGGGGGGGAGGCCTGTAGTTACCTGTCTCTGCCCTCCCTGGCCCCCTCTCTGGCATCTGTGTCCCTGGCACTACTCTGCAGGCCCCCTCTCGCATCTGACCACCCCTTTCCTGCGGGCCCAGCACTTGGCCCTTATGCCAGACCTGGGAGTTTCGGCTGTTGAGAGGGGCATGTGGTATCCTTTTTGGGCGTGAGGGGGCAGCAGAGAGAGGGCACCTAGTCCTTAGCACCCCTCTCTGCTAGCATCTCTTGATGAGTCCTTCACATTTGAAGGATGAGCTTGGACACAGACTTGTCTCTTTCTTGCTTTGTAAAGGAGGGGTGGATGGGTGTGAGTGTTCCGTCTCTGCTGGGGAGACGAAGACAAGACCAGGACCAGAACCTAGTCTTCTGGGGCAGGGGGGTGGGGGGCGGGGGGAGGCGTGTCCTCACGGGCAGGTGGTGACCAGGCTTCATGGGAGGGGTGAGGTGGCTTGAGCGTAGCTGGCCTCCTGCCTGGGGTGCACCTCTCCCCCTGTCTCTCTCCCTGTGCCCTCTCTGTGATGAGAAGGTTAAGTGACTGCATTCCTACCATTTCACGTAGAGCATTAGAATATGGTTCTTTTTTTTAAATAAAAATCAAAAGTGAAGGTAAGTTATAGTTGAAAGAAGATTAATGTTTTATTTCTGTGGAGACTGTTGTTGCAGACCTGAGGTCTTGGGGAAGCGTCTTTATTGGCCCTGCAGTGGTTGGGGGCCTGCCCTGTCCCACATTCCCTGTGGCCGCCTGGAGGAGCTTTTGGAGCTGTGAGCATTTGACTCAGGCTCTGTTGGGGGACAGCGCTTCCTGCCATCCCCTCTCCTTTCTGCGAGCCTTCTCCTGTCCGTGCTGATTTTGGGGGATGTGGCAGCCGCGGGGAGAAGCTGGTGGGGGCAGTGATCCAGGTTTAGCCAATGCAGCTCCTTGGTCTCCTGAGAGGAAAGTCCATCTACGTGGCCGCACGAGGGGGTTGTTGAGCCTAGCCTAGCACAGGACTCGCAGTGATGTCCTCAAGTTAACTGTCTTCCCACTCTGTGGTTGGGGCCACCGACTCAGGGCAGCCCAAACCACTAGTCTGCACTTTCACTGACCTCGAGCCCACCTCTCCAGACGCACGTGGCGGTCCTGGCTCTGCCCTACTCCAGGACAGCCTGCGGGCGCTGGCCTGGATCAGCTCCTCGTTTTCCTCTTCTCTCACCGGGCCCCCGTTCTCAAGCAGCGCTTCTTTCAGTGGTGTCACATGGTCCTGCTGTCCATCCTTGTCACGAGGGCCCCAGAGCTGAGGGGTGCCTGGGCAGCTCGTGTAGCCCCGAGCCTCTGGGCCAGCCTGGCCTCCTTGAAAGGAGGCCCCGTGGGCAGCCGATGACTGTGAGGACACGAGTGTCTCACGCAGGGCCGTGCTGGGGCCTGATCTTTTCCCATCCCGTTTCCCCCTTGTTCGGGGCTCACTTTAGTTTTCCTGTAGAGGCTACTTTAAAATAGTCTACTTCCTAAAAAAAATAAAATAGTCTACTTCCTAAGCAGTGTGTTGCTGACCCCGCAGACTGCTTCTGGCTCCTGGATGCGCTCCTGCAGTTCACGTCGTACGGGGTGACGCCCCCCAGCCTCAGCCACTCGGGAGCTCGGCAGCGCCCCCCCAGCGGAGCAGGCTTGGCAGCCCCGGAGAGGATGGAAGGTGTGCGGCCTCGGGGGGTGGGGGTTCGGGGTGCGGGCTCACTTGAGACGACTGGCTTCAGGGCTCTGGGGAGGAGTGGTCAGCAGGTCTGCATGCTCACTAGGTACCAGGTGCTGGGCCGGAGTGGCTTCACAGGGACCACTCTCTGAGTCCCCTTAGAACCTGGAAAGCAGATACTTCTTCCAAGTCCATGGAAGAGATGGGCCCAGGTCCCCCAGCGGGGGGCCACTCAGCAGAGCCTGGTCTGCGAGCCCTCACAGCCTGAGCCCCGCCTCCCAGGCTGTCCGTGTACGCGTGTTGTGAGCCGGTGTCGTTCTGACCTTCCCACTGGCCACATTTAAGGAGTAAAAAAAAAACGGGAAGTTCCTTGTGATGAAACTGTACAGCCCCCGTCCCTGGAATATTATTATTTAAACATGTGGCACCCAGCCTCTCAGTTGCTCAGTAGGCATGTGTGGGCAGTGGCTACCGTAAGGGGCAGCACGGATCTGAAAAACAAAAGGAGTTTGGAATTTTGAAAATGGAGATTTTCTTTTTGGTCTGAGTATTAAATATTTGAAGAGATGCTGTTCCCATGAAGTGTGTCTACAGGTTAGACTCCTGAGTGTAGGCACGTGTGTGTGATTACAGGCGTGTGGGGGCCCGGCTGCTGCTGTGCGTGTACTGTGTGGCCACTTTAGAGGAAGCAACAGCTAACAACGTCTTTTCCCCTGCCTGCTCTTAATGATGGCCTGTCGGTGGGTGCTGCCCAGGGAATCATCTGCACCGGTACTCCAAGGTCCTAGAGGCCCGGCTCGGAGGCCCGGAGCCGCGCGCGCTGCCGGCCTGTCCGCACCTGTCATGGGCCAAGCCACAGCCTTTAAACGAGACGGCTCCCAGGTTGGTGTCTCTTGTGCTTTTCCACTTCTGCTGCTGGGTTTATGATTCATTGCTGCTTTTTTAATAGGAGAGAATGGAATTTTACTGACATCATTATTGAATAATCAGATCTAGCTTGTCATTTGTGATGGTTTTTAAATTAGCGAGCCCCCGTATTGACCTTTAGAATCACGCACCCTGGTGGTACTGTGCATAAAAAGCGCTCTGGTAATTAGCCTTCTGGTGAGGTTTGCTTGGTTTTTGCTTGAAAAGCTGTGATCTGACAGTCGTGTCCCTGGAAGGGTCGCTCTTACTCCTTAAGCTGGAGATTTGGGAGTTGAGTGCGCCTGTGTGCGGTGTTGGTTCTGGAATACAGATGGGGTCTTCTGTGTCCCCGGGGCAACCTGGAGCCACGTTTGTGCCCTCACCTGTGCTGGGTTGTCCCTGGTAAAGTGACCTCAGACTGTGACAGGCCCAGACACTGATCTGCCTGCTTCTCCATCTGGCTGTCAAGCTTGAGCTCTTCATTTGTGTCAGTTCCTTTTAAAAGCCAAAATTGAGCGACCTGTGCTGTTTCTCTGTTCAGGCAGAAGAGCCAACTCAGCCCACTGGTTCCTGTTTTCTCTAGATTGCTCCTCTCCTGCTTCTCTGTTTGGCGTCTCTGGCCCCGGCAGGACAATATCCTGCTGTGGCGAGGAGGACTGAGGTCCTAGTACAGTGGCGCGGGGCCCTGTGTTCTGGGCATGGCTGTGGGAGGCCCCGCGAGCCTCACGGCTCCTCCTCCTCTGAGCGGTGCTGCCAGCCCCTGTCTTCCTCATGGGCAGCACACCCCACACACGTGGCCAGGTCACCTCCGGGTGGCTCCTGCCTTCTTTCCCCTACCAGCTGCCCACTCGCCTTGGTCTCAGCATGTACAGTGTTGGGGTGTGTGTGGCAGGGCACGGGGACTGCCATCTCCACGGTGAGCCACGAGGAGGGAGATGCCTGCAGAAGGCCCAGAAGCTTCCTGTGAAGCTGTCGTCATGAACAGAAGCCCTGAGTGCACCTCTCACTGACCATGTCATCTTTAGAACACGCTCGATAGGAAATAGCATCGGATATTCATCACGTTGTCTCCTCGTCAGCAGTTTTTTCTTGATACTTTAATTACTGAGTACTTTTCCATTCCAGTTAACATGCCATCATTTAAAATTTTCTGATAAGATTCCATTTTTATATCTCATTTATTTATAACCTACCATTATCTGAACATTCAAACCAGACTTTAATTCCAGCTGTTGTCAGCAGTTCACACTTGGTGGACAGTCGCTGTCGGCAAAGGTTCCTGAAACCCACTTCTTCTCCATGGTACTGCTCAGGGCTCTGAGGACAGGTGACAGTGTCCTGTATCTGCGTGTCCATCAGACAGCCCGTCACGTACCAGCCTGGCCCATCAGGGTGCTGCTGCTGTGCTGCCCCTAGAATTTGATTTTCACTGTTGCTTTCTGGAATTCCTTCTTCTTAAAACACCCACCAGGCCCCACCCTTATCTCACTTCTTGCTGGAAATTGTTCTCAGTCCTCAGTGACCTGGATCTGGGTCTAGATTCTGAATCTATTGAGGAGATGCAAAACAATGTCAGACAACCCCAGTCAGCCCTGGAAAGGTCAGGGTCTATCAGCCCAGTGCTGAGTGCAGGTGTTCACTCTGTCCTTGAAACCGGGATGCAGTTCCTGGTGTCATTCCCGGGCGTCGGGCGTCCATACTATGAGCAGCTGTAGGAGGTCAGACCTACGAGGAGCCCCACACGAGGCTAACCTGTCCTCCCATCAGGACATTGTGGAATTCTCAAATGACAACGTGGAGCTCTGTCACCCTAGCTGCTCAGCGAGAAAGGATCATTGTGGGGTAATTAAATTCCAGAACAGGAGAGCGCTGTGAGAATGAAAAGATAGCCCCAGGTATATTCACCTGCAGGGTTATAAAGCTTAAATGCATCGATTCTATAACTTAGCATCGTCAGTTTAATTTCCAGACTGATTAAACTGAAAAGCAAAGTGAAATCATATAAAATAGAGCAGATTATAGTCCAAGCAGTTGCCCCGCTGGATGTGCCTGATAGTAGCTGATCAGAAAGCCTCTTTATGGAGCTGACATCACCTGGCTGCCCTCTGACCTGCCTCTTGACTGCTGCTAGAACTCGGCTCTCTGCTCTCACTTGGCCAAAGTAAGAGATGGGCCAGCAGGGTCCACATGAATAAGAGGCAGAACAGGGAATTCATAACTGCAAGCATATTTTATTCTCTTCCCTTGTTTTAGCCAGAATGGTCTTCAGATTTTCCGTCTGCACTCTTTGCTCTCATCTCTGTGTCTTCCCACGCTGCTCTTGGCCATGTACCAGCCTCTCTTCCTCAGTTACATGTGCTTCCGATCTCAGAATTAGTACTGAGAGTAATGATGCAGTCAAAACGAGTCCAGTGCATTTTGCAAAGCATGTGTGTTCCCTTCATCATCCTGAGCCCTCAGGCAAGGCCCATGCTCACTCCTTTATTCCCGTGTTTCTGCCCATTGCTTGGTTACTTGTGTGTCTGCCTCGTTCTCCTTCCTGCGAGTGGTGTCCTTGAGGACCAGGGTGACAGCTGGCTCCTGGCATCGGGTCTGCCCCCTTTGCCACATACGAGTAGGTGCCCCCGGCTCTGCCGTCTCATGGCGGAGACTGGTCCTTCCAGCCGGGCTGTGTCCACTGCTGCTATCCACCAGCTCCTTCAGAGGTCATGTGTAGTTTTCTCATTTTCTGCTGGGTCGTGTTCCTGGTTGAAGCCAAGACAGGCTCCTGTTGGTGGTGTTATAGACCCTCTAGAACTGCATCTCATGCATAATGTCTTGATCTGACGTCCTCGTCTAGGGGCCTGGAAGTGCCCCTTTAGTTGTCCGCAGTTGTGTTTAGATAGACGTAGATGGGACATCCGTTCACGTTTCTGTTTAAATCACTTTCTGTTTCTTAGAAATTGGGTCAGCTGCCTGGGCCAGTATAGTTGCTTATTTTTATTTTGTTTGAATCTGTTTTCCTGAAGTAACCTTTGGAAACACCAGAAGTTGCTCTCCATTGACCTGGACAAAGTGGTATTGCCCAACTTCCGATCGAATCGCCCTCAAGTGAGGCCCTTGTCTCCTGGAGAGAGTGGAGCCTGGGACATTCCTGGAGGTCAGTTCAGGGTGCTATATTGTGGGGCTGAGTTATCCTATGATTTATTCAAAAGAGCCTCTCCCTCTCGCCCAGGAGGTGGGCCAGGCCGTTCCTGTCTTTGCCCTCTTGGGGGCAGCGGTAGTCCAGGCTTTCTTCCTGGTACAAATCACAAGGCCGGAGCAGACCTAAAGGATCCACACATTGTGGCCTCTTAGGAAATCCTGTCTGAATTTTCAAATCTGAATTTATTTTGTGATGTCCGTCTGTCATAACCTGGCCCTGAACCCTCAACCCAGACATCACCACCGATTCTCTGCCCCAGCCCACCTGGGATGGGACTTCCCTAACCTGGGATGCCCAGTTAATTTTGGGGTGTCCCTTCCCCCAAGTGACATCAGATGTCCCTCGCCCGCCCCCAACCCTGACAGGGCTTTGGCCTGAGTAGACTGCCGGGGGCAGGTGGTCCTCTGTCTGGGACGATGGGACAAGTCGTTCTGGCAGAGCGTGGGCCCCTCTTCTGCTTTGGGAACCCTTGTGCTCTTACATGACTTTACAGCTCCCTGGAGCACTTCTCCTGGTTCTAGGAATTGGCCAGAAAAACTCCAGGGATCAGGAAGAAGGGGTACCCTGTCCCATGTGGTCCAGCCCTGTGTTCTGGAACCCTGGCATTGTCCAGGTACAGAGCTGACGACAGCACAAACCCCAGGATCCACCAGCGGCCACGCTCAGTTGCCCACCACAAGTCTCACCTGTGGGAGGCCTTCCCAGTGGTGAGGTAGCCGTCCTCACCTCCCTGCCGGCCTGTACTTTTCTTTCCTCCTTTCTCCGGGTCACTCTGAGCCCAGCTGGTTGCAGCCATCAGACTGACCATCTTCCCACTGTCCTGCAGGGATTATGCCCGGCCGCTACAACCAGGAGGTGGGCCAGACCATTCCCGTTTTCGCCTTCCTGGGAGCCATGGTGGTCTTGGCCTTCTTTGTGGTGCAGATCAACAAGGCCAAGAGCAGGCCGAAGCGGAGGAAGCCCAGGGTGAAACGCCCGCAGCTCGTGCAGCAGGTTCATCCGCCAAAGGCCCCCTCAGTGTGACACCCACCCAGCTGGTCGTGAGAGCCAGGGAGCGCCTTCGCGGGCAGCCAGGAGGCAGGTGGAGCCGTGGGATCTGAGGAGCCCTGGCTTGAAAGGGCTCAAGCCTTCAGCTGGGCGTGTGCAGGAGCTGAGAGCCTGTGCCGCGAGGGGCTGGGGCCACTGGAGGGCCCCGAAGGGCAGCCTGGAGTCAGATCTCGCCAGCTGCCCATGCACCAAAGACTAAGACGACGTCTAAAGGCTGTCCGGGAGGAAGCGGCTCTGACCAAGCTAGACGTGCTCCATAAAGGCTATTTTCTATATTTATTGTTGGGGAAAAGTCACTTTAAAGACTTGTGCTATTTGGAAGCAAAGCTATTTTTTTTGTCAATGGAATGCAGTTTTTTTACTATTTCATCACGAGGACTAACACAGATGCTGCGATCTCCTTTTTGATGAAAGGAGAGACTGAGATTTGAAAGAAACTTGCACAAATCTGTGAAACATAGCCCTTCGCTTTATTTTTATAAGTATCAACTGCCATCATGTTTTGTAATTTGGGTCTTGATGTCACCATTGTCGGTGAAGAAAATTTTCAATAAATACGCATTACCTGTATGAAGCTAAGGGGCTTCCCATGTGGCTCAGTGGTAAAGCATCTGCCTGCAGGAGATGCAGGAGACATGGGTTCGATCCCTGGGTTGGGAAGATCCCTTGGAGGGAGGGAATGGCAACCCACTCCAATCTTCTTGCCTGGGAAGTCCCACACACGGGCCTGGCGGGCTGCAGTCCATGGGGTCACAAAGAGTCGGACATGACTGAACATGCACGCGTGCATGCATGAAGCTAAAAAGCAATGTGTAAGTGGTCCCTTTCCCACCTGTCCGTTTCTCCGGATGACAACCTGGAATGGGTTCTGAATCAGCCTATTGAATTTTTCTTGAGATATAATTCACTACTACAAAATTCTGTTTAAAAGTGTACAGTTCTGTGGGTTTTAGTATATTCACAAGTTTGTGCACCATTATTGCTGTAATTCCAGAACATTTTCATCACCTCCAAAAGAACCCTTGTACACAGTAGCAAGTCAGTCTCTGTCCCCTCCCCCACTGTCCCAGGTCAGCCCTGATGTGCTGTCTCTATGAATTCACCTGTTCTGAACGTTGCATGTAAACAGCGTCATGTAATACATGGCCTTTGGGGACTAGCTGCTTCCACGGAGTGTGTTTTAGTGGTTTGTCCGTGTCATAGCTGTCTCAGTACTTCACTCCTTTCTAGACCTCAGTAACACTCTGTCATGTGGACACGTCTTAGTTTGTTTATCCTCACTTGATGGACCTCTGAGCTGCTTCCACTTTTTAGCTGTTGTGAATAGTCTTGCTTTGAGCATGCGGGTACCATTTTTGGTGTGGACGTAAGTTTTCATTTCTGTTGGGATGACACCTAAGAGTAAAATCCTGTAACTTTATGCTTTATTTTTTGAGGAACCACCAAGCTCTCTTTCCAAAGCTTCACTGTTTATCAAGTAGTTCCTGCCAGCAGTGTATGAGGGTCACAGCTTCACCTTCTCTCCAACACATGCTGTTACCTGTCTTTTTGACAGTTGCGCCCCAGGGGATGTGAACTGGTGTCTCATTGTGGTTTGACTTGCATTTCCCTAAAGATTAGTGTTGTTGAGCATCGTTTCATGTGTTCATTGGCCATTTTTCTGTCTTTGGAGAAATGTCCATTTCAGTACTGTGTCCATTTTTTGAGTTGTCTTTATCATTGACTTGTAAGAGTTCTTTATATATTTCAGATGAAAGTCCCTTATGAGATACATGACTTGAAAAGAGTTTCTCTCATTCTGTCAGTTATCTTTTTACTTTCCTAATGGTATCCTTATGGGCCTGAGTTTTTTATTTTGATGAAGTTCATTTTATCTGTCAGAGTCCATTTCTAAGATACCATTGCCTCATCCAGGGTAGCCTGTTAATTTTTAACCCCTGCCTGTATAGTCTGTTTCCTGTCCTTCAGCTGGCCCAGACATCAGCTTTCAGATGACAGGTGAGGACAGACTGACAGAAAAGGGCAGAGGTTGTGTGGGGTGAGGTCCCGGGGAGAGAGGGACCCCGGACAAGGGAGGAGCCACCAATGCCCCACTCTCCCTGCCACATGTCACCCTGGGCAAGTCACAGTGGCAACCTCGCAACTGTGAACCGTGTTCCGTGGCTGCTGTTGCTTTGAGGACTTAGAGACATTGCTGAGGGCCCTGCAGAGCTCTCCCATTCCCCCCGGATACGGAGCTGGAGAAAGAGCTTTAGCAAGGTGAGTGAGCACAGATGGGGGGAGAGTCTCTGCAGGACCACTTGATGGCATCTGCTGTGTGCCACCCTGTCCCAGGGAGAGACCTGTCGGGGGTTGTGGGATACCAGATCCACCTGGGAGGAACATGCCAGGGCCCTGGCTGTAGACCCAGACCAGCCACTTCCTGCTGGTGGGTCTTGTCTGACGTCATCCAGCCTTGGGCCTGATGCAGAGGCAGCGCTCAGTTATGTCCCTGGCTGACGGTGGTTCTCTTCCTGGTGACACACATGCCCGAGGCCTACTCACTGCTTGGAAGAGTCCCCGTGTGTGTTTGGAGTGGACTCTCATTGTTCTAGGGAATGGCTCCATGTCTTTTAAAACCAAAAGCAGGAGCAGCTGCCCCAGCACAGCTATAGATAGTCGTGGGAGTCCTCGAGGGCCCTGGGGTCTCCCAGGAACTGAGCATGGAGGTTGGCCCCAGGGCTGGTCCCTAACCATGCTCACCCAGCCAGGCAGCATCCTGACTGTGTGGAGAGGGGCCAGAAGTGGGGTGAGCAGGGTTTCCTCAGCCTTCCCTGTGTTGGCACCCGGGTCTGGGGTCTTCGCTGCACCACCTAGACTCTGGTGCCCGGGCACAGGGACCCTGAGGCCCTCCCACCGGAACAAGCCTGTGCTCAGTGAGCCCGCCTGGAACGGTGGTGCTGCCTCTGCTGACGCACCGCTGGCCTAGCCTTGGGGATGTTTTGCGTGCATTAAGGGGTCTGGGCGGGTAGTCTCGGTCATCCTGTGATACCCCAACCACCATTTCTCAGCTAAGGGGGGCCAGCCTTCCAACCCAGATCTGGCCTGGGCCTGAGCTCTGAGCCCCCAGTGCCAGATTGCTTCTAATGGTGGGAAGGCTGCCTGCTTGCTGGTAATACTGGTGGTGCTACTTAATGTTTACTGGCTCCAAGATGAAGTGAGTTAAGACTATCACGTGTAGAGTAAGGAGAAGTTTTCAGAGGAAAAAACTCAATTTTTTCCCCCAGTGGGTGGTGCCATTAAGAGGATGTTACTGTAAGAGGATGTTGTTTTAATTTGCTGGTAACACGAGAGCAGTGCAGGCAGAGATCCCTGGGCCTTGTATGCTCCTTGGAAAGAGCCTAGAAATCTGCCTTAAGGGGTCCCTAAGGTAAACAGGGACACAGACATGTATCCATGTCTGACCATTGTGGTGTGATCACTCACCAAGAGCCAGACATCCTGTAATGTAAAGTCAAGTGGGCCTTAGAAAGCATCACTATGAACAAAGCTAGTGGAGGTGATGGAATTACAGTTGAGCTATTTCAAATCCTAAAACATGATGCTGTTAAAGTGCTGCACTCAGTATGTCAGCAAATTTGAACACTCAGCAGTGGCCACAGGACGGGAAAAGGTCAGTTTTCATTCCCATCCCAAAGAAAGGCAACACTAAAAAATGTCCAAACTACTGTACGCTCGCACGCTAGCAAAGTAATGCTCAAAATTCTCCAAGCCAGGCTTCAATGGTATGTGAACTGTGAACTTCCAGATGTTCAAGCTGGATTTAGAAAGGGCAGAGGAACCAGAGATCAAATTACCAACATCCGTTGGATCATCAAAAAAACACAAGAGTTCCAGAAAAACATCTGCTTTATTGACTATGACAAAGCCTTTGACTGTGTGGATCACAACAAACTGGAAAATTCTTAAAGAGATGGGAATACCAGACCACCTGACCTGCCTCCTGAGAAATCTGTATACAGCTCAAGAAGCAACAGTTAGAACTGAACATGGAACAATAGATTGGTTCCAAATAGGGAAAGGAGTATGTCAAGGCTGTATATTGTCATCCTGCTTATTTAACTTTTAGGCAGAGTACACCATGCAAAATGCCAGGCTGGATGAAATACAAGCTGGAATCAAGATTGCTGGGAGAAATATCAATAACCTCAGATACACAGATGACACCACCCTTACGGTAGAAATCGAAGAAGAAATAAAGAGCCTCTTAATAAAAGCGAAAGAGGAGAGTGAAAAAGTTGGTTTAAAACTCAACATTCAGAAAACTAAGATCATGGCATTCAGTCCCATCACTTCACAGCAAATAGATACAGAAACAATGGAAACAGTGATAGACTTTATACTTTTGGGCTCCAAAATCACTGTAGATGGTGACTGGAGCCATGAAATTAAAAGACGCCTGCTCCTTGGAAGAAAAACTGTGACCAACCTAGACAGCATATTAAAAAGCAGAGACATTACTTTGCCAACAAAGGTCCGTCTCGTCAAAGCTAATGTTTTTCCAGCAGTCATGTATGGATGTGAGAGCTGGACTATAAAGAAAGCTGAGCACCGAAGAATTGATACTTTTGAACTGTGGTGTTGGAGAAGACTCTTGAGAGTCCCTAGGAGATCAACCCAGTCAATTTCCTAAAAGGGACCAGTCCTGAATATTCATTGGAAGGACTGATGCTGAAGCTGAAGCTTCAATACTTTGGCCACCTGATGTGAAGAACTGCCTCATTGGAAAAGACCCTGATGCTGGGAAAGATTGAAGGCAGGAGAAGGGGATGACAGAGGATGAGATGGTTGGATGGCATCACCGACTCGATGGGCATGAGTTTCAGCAAGCTCTGGTAGTTGGTGATGGACAGGGAGGCCTGGCGTGCTGCAGTCCACGGGGTCGCAAAGAGTCGTACATGACTGAGTGACTGAACTGAACTGAGAGCTGGGCATCTGCCCACTGCCCTGTGACTCAGCCTCCGGTCTGGCTGCTGACACCTGGGGACTCTTCCTATGGATGCAGTGGGTGGAGGAAGGTCGATATTAAGGCTGTTTGAAGATACTTTCTCACTTTCAAATGCCAAGGCACAGTTTTCCTTTAGCTGGAGCGGGACTGTGGATCGTAACTCAGGGGTCCATCCCTTTCATGGGGGGAGGGGACAGCAAGGCCCATGCTGTGGGCCGAGTGTCGCCTGGAAGTCCCCCGTCTCTGACCTGCTACTTACAAAAGGCCCAGAGCTGGGGTGGGTGGACCATGGGTCTCCACCCTGAGAGACACCGACCATCAGAACTCGTGGTGCTGGGTGTATCTGTTTCCCACTGCTGCTGTCACAAGTTACCAGGAAGCACTGACAACGTTTATTCCCTGCAGTCCTGGAGGTTGTAAGTCCAAATCAGCTTTGTGGAACTAAAACGCGGTTGGTGCCCTAGGAGGGCTCCAGGGTAGAATTGGCTTCCTGACCTGTCCCGGCTTCTCGAGGCACCCCCTCCTCACCTCCAGTGTGCACCAATCCACCCTCTGCTTCTGTCAGCCTTGTCTCTCTGCCCTCTGACCTCTCCTGTGTCCCTGTTCTCAGGGTAGGAGGGACTGTTCCCACCACTCTGCAGGTGACCCCTGTGAGGCGTGGATCACAGTCCCAGGCCCTCAGTTTCCTGAGACCTGCCCATCAGTCTTCCAGAATTTTCTGAAGGGTGTGAGCACAAAAGTTCGTGGAAATGAGCTGAAGTCACTTTTCCCTGAAGTTTGAACCCTGCCAGGTGACCAGTACCTGTGGAGACGGAAAGAAGGGACCCGGGAACGTCCCTGGCCGGGTGCTCCCCTGGGGGGCAATGTGGGGCCGTGTGCGGGGTGCTGGGCTGAGCCCCTTGTACCACTAGAGCCGCCTGCCCACACAGACAGGCCCCAGGGGTGCCTCTCCTCCCCGAGAAAGGTCACGCAGCCCTGGGATTCGGCAGAGGGCATATCAAACCCCTCAGAATTAAGAGGCTTTCCCCATTGAGTGGAATTTCACAGCCCAGTGGCCAATTTCTAAGTCATGCACATTAATGGGCAGCTAATGAGGGACCCAGGCGGGACAGGGAGGTGCCCCGGAGCCCTGAGCCCACATTAAAGAGTACAAAGCCTGCCCAGATTAAGGAGTACAAAGCCAGGCCGCTGTGAGGGCCCTTGATCTTCACTGCCTGGGGTGGTGGAGGGGGAGGGCTGAGCCATGTGATTTCGGGAGGGACTGGGCGCCCCAGCCTCTCCCCCACCCCCACCGTGTCCTGCCAGCCACTCACCCATTCATCCCCGCCCTACTCATCCATTCCCATTCGGGCACCTTTGGAGTCTGGACAGGGACGAGGGGGGTGGCAGTGTGACACTGTTCGCTTTGAGGGGACACTCGGGGCTGATTCCCAGCTCTGGCACTGGTCAGCAGTCACGTTTCGAGCCACTTGCCCCACCTCAGGGAGCCCTGCTCCATACAGACCATGGCGACAGCCCTCGGGGTTGGGCGAGAGGACTCTGGGAGCCGTCCAGCACGCCCTGCAAGGCCCGGGTCCCAGTGAGACTGTGCACTTGGGGGCCGCGGCTCTATGGCCCAGATGCCAGCCCGCTCTGGCTCCTGTCCCCTGGCACCTGCAGACTCACCTGCCACTCAGCAGACCAAGCGGAGCCACTGCAGCGAGGGGGCACCATCGTGGGCTCGAGCCCATGAGACACGCTTTTGGTGCCCATCTCTGCAGACACTTGGACTGAGGGAGGCACTGAAGGTGTTTAACTTAAAGCATCAGTTCTCGGGAAGGGCCTCCGTACCCCCGAGTCAGCAATGCCACGGAGGGACCCCACGGCCCGTGCTTTGACACACTCTCGAGGGGATTTGAGCCTGGGTGCCGGGAACAGACAAGTTCACCTCCAAATTCAAGATCTGAACTTCATGGGCCTGTTTTCCAGATTGGAACTGTTTGTATTCTGCCTGTATCTAAGCTGACTGTATCAGGTCGGAGAGGTGGCCTCTACTCAAAATGTGGTCCAGGGACCCCCAGCACGCTGCTCACCCAGAGCGGGGTGAGCGGGTTGGCTCTGGCCTCTTAACCCACCTCCAGGTGATTTGAGGGCTCATTAGTCTGCAGAGCCATGCGGTGAAACTCCTGGGCCTTTGCCTATGTGAATCTCCAGCCCCCCTGCGAGGAGGGCAGACAGACCCCTTTCTGTAGCTGGGTAGCCAGGCACGGCGTCCCTAGTAGGTGACAAGAGGGGGCCTGGAGAGGTGTCCTGGTAGGAGGCCTTGGGCCCCCAGCCTAGGTGGCTGGGTGAGATCAGCCAGCTCCCCTGACCCGGGGCTCAGGGAAAGCCCCGCCCCAGTGCTTCTTAAGCCTCCTCTCCTCCCCCGCTCAGACCAGCAGCCTCAGAAGCTGCAAGTTCTTGGGACGGATGGCCTGACCTCTTGGTCCCATCCTCCTAGGTTTGGGGTTGTGACCCTCACCCGTGCTGTCTAGGGCCCCCCACGATTCCTGACTCATTTGCCCACCCCTCCGGGTCCTCTGGAGTGAACCTGAATCCCATCCCCGATGGCCCAGGACTGCTGGTCTCCGTGAAGACTGGACTTGGTGGTAAGGACCAGGTGCTGGAGGCAGGGGGATGGGTGAAAAGAATGATAGAGGGAGGAGTTTGGGGATTGGAAGAGAAAAGGGAGGGGGCGGCCCCGGTGGCAGGAGTGCCCATGAACAGGGGTAAAAATTGGGGGGAAACATTTGTTGAGGGGAAGGCATGAGGACCAGGAGTTACAGGGCAGGTGGGTGCGTAAGGCTCTGGAAAGGGGATCAGAGGCTCGGAAAGCGATAGAGGCCAGGGTGGTTGCGATGGATGCCCTGGCTCAATGGAGGAAAAACCGCTCCAAGCTGGAGAAGGGTGCCGAGAACCAGGGAGGAGGTACCGAGACGACCCCCCTCCCCACTCTGCTTCCAGCCATGGAGGGGCAGACCCCAGGAGGCGGAGGCCTTTCAGAAAAGCCGGTCCCCACGGCCACAGGCCCTGGCCTGTCCTCGCTGGGCGCCGTCTTCATCCTCCTGAAGTCTGCGCTGGGCGCTGGCCTACTCAACTTTCCGTGGGCCTTCCACAAGGCGGGGGGAGTGGCCCCCGCTTTCCTCGTGGAGCTGGTAAGTCGTCGGGGGGCTGTTTCACGGGGTGGGGCGGGGGAGGGTGGTCTTTGGGAGCAGGTGGGAGCTGAATTTTATTTTTCCAGGCGGAGCCCTAGGCATTGCTTCTGTAGAGCTGCCTGTCTTCAAAATTACTCCTGTGTTTTGTTTTTTTGTCCCTCGGCTCATGGGGGAGAATGGAAAATCCTGGTGTAAACCTGTAGACCCGGGCCGTGAGCATCCTTGGAACTGAGGGCCATGCGGCCAGGTGGGGCTTGGAGGGAGGGGTGGGGGAGGGCAGGTGGAGCTGTGCTCGCCACACCTGCAGCCAATGAACCCGGCCTGTGAGCTGAGCCACTGCCTGTCTTGGCGGCTGGTCTCCGCTCCACAGCTAAAGCCCAAATCCCATGGGCAGAGCAGGACCGACTTGCCGTGAGCCCCCAGCCTGCCAGTGTCAGGGGTGTTCGGCCACTGCTGCATGTGGAGCCCGAACTCCCTCCCTTTCCGGAAAGTTCCAGGGACTGACCGTCCTCAGCAGAGAAGAGCTGCTGGTTAGCACAGCTTCATTTTATTAGCTGATAGGAATCAGGCGTTTCCTGGTGAGCTCTTTGACGGGCATCATGTCAAAGGCTTTTTCCTGGCAGCCGCTGATAAGGGCTCCGTTGGGCCTTTCTGATCCTTCTGGAAGCTGCCAAACACCACCCTGTGTGGTGTCCAGTAGCTCGTGCCGCCCCCGAGCTGGCCCAGCGCCCGTCTGGACCGTGCAGGCTCTGTCCTCCTGAAGCTTGTTGTAAGGGGGAGCTTGGATAAGATTCAGGGAGTCGAATGAAATGGTGGGCAGTGTGATGGGGAGGGGGCGGGGCGACCTCTTTGGGAATGGTGGAAGCTGAGAAGCCCCCTCCAAGGCAGCACTGAGCCCCAGCTTGTGTGGGTGCACGTGATGGGCAACAAGGCTGTTTGCTGTCCCTGAACAGGGAGCCTGACCTCCAGCCACAGAGGGTCAGCGATGGAGCGGGTGGGGCTGGCGTGGGGATCCGTGTCAGGCACAGACGGGCATCAGGCTGGGCTGAGGCAGACAGGCGCCCCGCTCGCTCCCCAGGCTCTGTGTGGGGTCTCCCAGCGCCTCCAGGGCCGCAGATGTTGACTCTGGGTGGGCGGGCCTCCCTGGTGATACGGATGCTGCTGGGGAGGCTTGTCGTTGGCCCAGGATGGTCTAAAGCTCCTGCCCTGAGCAGGCAGACTTGAGGAAAGGGGACCCCAAATAGGAATAAATGGAAACTCCCCACAAGGGAAAAGGTCAGGCTGGTTAGCAGCTCACCCTTCCCCCACCCCATTTCCTGTCTCTCCCTCTTCACCAGACAGTTCTGCCCCCTCTTGGGTTGGCAGAATGTTTAAACATCCCTGCCACTGGGAGGCTAGTGGTGTGAGATTTTAGGTCTCTAATGGCTCCATTAGCATTGGAGGATTAATGAAATTAATGAGCCTGGATCTTCCTCGGCTCCAAAGAGACAGGCAGCCTGGCCAGGGGCTTTTGCCGACTGGCTGCTTAGAGGCTCAGGGACCCTCTTGAGGGTCACCCAGTCCTGTGTGGTCAGCTCACTGCCTTAGCAGAGACGCACCTCCACTGGCCGAGGCTCAGTCTGACCCCCTTCACTTCCTTTTGTCCAAAATATTTACTAGTGCCTGCTATGTACTGGGTTTTCTCCTGGGGGCTGAATGCAAGCTAAAAGACATGATCCCAGTCTCCATGGAGGTTAGAGTCTGGTGGTGATCTCCAAGGATCCCCACACTGTATGCACCAGCCCCCTGGATCAAAGGACCACAAACTGAGGCGTGTAAAACAACCAAAGTGTATTCTCTCCCAGTCCTGGAGAGTCATGTCCCCTCAAAGGCTCTAGCGGAAGGTCCTTCCTGCCTCTCCAGCTCCTGGGGCTCCAGCTGTTCCTTCGCTGGTGGCCACGTCGTCACTTGGCCTGCTCCTCTGTGTCTCCTCTTTTTCTGTCTAAGGACACTTGCCATTGGATTTGAGGCCCAATCAGTCCTGGGTGTTGGAAGGACTGATGCTGAAACTGAAACTCCAATACTTTGGCCACCTCATGCGAAGAGTTGACTCACTGGAAAAGACCCTGATGCTGGGAGGGATTGGGAGGAGGAGGAGAAGGGGACGACAGAGGATGAGATGGCTGGATGGTATCACCAACTTGATGGACATGAGTTTGAGTAAACTCCGGGAGTTGGTGATGGACAGGGAGGCCTGGCGTGCTGCCGTTAATGGGGTTGCAAAGAGTCGCACACGACTGAGCGACTGAACTGAACTGAACTGAACTGGATCATCCAGAACGATCTCATCTCAAGGTCCTTAATTTTACCTGCAAAGACCCCTTTTCATCTTCATTATCTGTGCCTGCATAGACAGGTGCCACTAAGTCCCTTTCACAGGTTCTGGAGACTATTGAAGGGATTCAACCCACCATAAGAAAAATTGTGCCCATAAAAGGCATCGCTCAGCCAGAGCCTGAAACAGAGGGTTGAGCCCACCTCAGGGGTGAAGTGTGGGGAAGCTTCCTGGAGGAGGTGACCTTGGGGCGGGGGGTTGGGGCTGGTAGGAGGTAGGGAGTTCCTAGGTGAGGGGCAGTGGTTGGAGGCAGGAGGGAGTTCCAGGCAGAGGAGCCACCTTGGACAGAGTTCCAGGGGCTGCAGGGAGCATGTGTGTTCTTTCTGGCTCTGAACTTCCAAGTTTCTCTGATTGGTCCAGTTAGATGTTGCCCTCAGGCTGCCGGAGTAGGAACAAGCCTGCAGTCCGGGCACGAACTATGTCTGAAGGGGCCAGCCTAGCTCTCCCCAGGCTTCTAGGTTGAGCACCTTGCCGCTGCTGCGTGCTTCTCCTCCATAGAACTGTGGGAGGGGGTCTGAGTATGGAGACCAGGTCCAGCTTAGGCACAGGTAATGCTCCAGCCTGGAGAGACTCAAAAACATTTAACTCTGTGGACAAGTGGGGCTCATGTGCATCGCTGGGGGTGGGTGTCGAGTGGCACAGATGATTTGGAAACAGTTTATAAGAAATTACCAGAGTTGAACACATGTCTACCCTGACACCCACGAATTCGACTCCTAGGTGTGTGTCCAGGAGAAGGAAACGTGGGTCCTCAGCATGACTTGTTCTAGAATGCTCAGCTCTTCATTCATAGCAGCCAAAAGGAAGGACAGCCCAGATGTCTGGCAAAGGGGACTGGACCAGCCAAGTGATTCTATGCACCCGGTGAAATAGCACTGAAGAAAAATAGGAATAAACTACTGATGCATCCGACAGGGCTGGCCCTCCCAAGTGTTACTGCTCAGTGGAAGAAGCCAGATAGGAAAATATATAAAAGCAAAGTACTATTAGAGTGGTGTTTTCTGGATCTAGGATGGGAACAGGAGGGGAACTCAGGGATGTGATGTTCTGTGTCTTGGTAGAGGTTCAGGTTGCATATATGCCTTAGTTGTACCCCTTCCAGTGATGCACTCACGACTCTGTGCATTTCATGGTGTGTACATTTTTTTCTTACAAGAGAGGACTAAAACCAAACATCAAACTCCAATTAATGACATGCATGCCCAAATCTCTGGGGGTAAGTATACTGATATCCACAATTTGCCTTGAAATGTACCCTCAAGTTTAGATGGACATGTGGACACATGGTAAGAGATGTGATAAAACAAGCACAGGGACCCGCTCCTGGTAGAATCTAGGTGGTGAGGACATGGTGTTCATTGTGAAATTCTTCCAATTTTCCTAGATGTTTGAAAAGTTTTCATAGTGTTGGATTTTTTTTTTATTAGTTGGAGGCTAATTACTTCACAATATTGTAGTGGTTTTTGTCATACATTGACATGAATCAGCCATGGATATACATGTATTCCCCATCCCAATCCCCCCTCCCACCTCCCTCTCCACCCGATCCCTCTGGGTCTTCCCAGTGCACCAGGTCCGAGCACTTGTCTCATGCATAGTGTTGGAAAAATTTAAACTGAAGTAGGGAGAGCCCTGGAGAGGGAGTCTGGAGAGTAACAACGACCATTTCTTTTGTTGTTGTTGTTAAATATTTATTTATTTGGCTCCACCGGGTCTTAGTTGTGGCCCATAGCCTCTTTAGTTGAGGCCTATGAACTCTTAGTTGTGGCATGTAGGATCCAGTCCCCAGGGCCCTGCATGGGGCGCGCAGAGTCTTAGCCACCAGGCCACAGGGCAGTCCCCGACTGTCATGTCTTGAGCAGGTATCACCTGCCAGGCACTGAGCTGAGTGCATTATTGCTTTGTTTGGTCCAAATGCTTCACAATCCCCCAGTAAGGTAGATGGTGTCATCCCCATTTCACAGATGGGAAAACAGAGTGATGGTTGGCCTCATTACCACAGAGCAGGTGAGTGGCGGGGTTGGAATTGAACCCAAGTATGCATGCTTCCTAACCACTGTGCCTTATGGCTCTCTACCCACAACCCGTGTGATCTTAGGAAAGTAATTTAAACTCTGGGTTTCCAAAGCCTCATTTGTCCAGCTGGTGTGGTTTGGCATGGATCCCAGATTTACAGATTTAGATCAGCGTGGCCTCTAGATTCCACCTGCTTTGTAACTCTGGTTTTGAGGAATGGGCTGGTGGCTCATCAGGCCAGGGCCTCTGCAACTGAGGCTCGCTGGGAGTGGGCTGAGCAGCTGTGGGCATGCCCAACGCCATGGTCCTGTTCGGCAGGTCTCCCTGGTCTTCCTGATCAGCGGGCTGGTCGTCCTGGGCTACGCTGCCTCCGTCAGCGGCCAGGCCACCTACCAAGGCGTGGTTGGAGTGCTGTGTGGCCCCGCCATTGGCAAGCTGTGTGAGGCCTGCTTCATTGTCAACCTGCTCATGATCTCCGTGGCCTTCCTCAGGGTGGTCGGCGACCAGCTGGAGAAGCGTGAGTACCTGCGCTGGAGTCGAGGTGACCCCTGGTGTGGAGCTCAGGGCTCCTGGTGGATGAGCAGGACGTGGACGTGGGGCTGGGCCCTGGGCGAGCAGCAGAGGCCGAGACCAACCCTAGTTCCTAACATTGTAGGGGAGGGAGGTCTAGGATAAGTAATTACCAGTATAGCGGAAATCAGGGGCAGGGGGCTGTGCTGGGGTGTCCTGTGGGGACTCATTTTACACATGGCAGGTGGCAGCAACTTGCAGTTGCTCTCTCTCATCCCTGTGAGAGAGAACCAGTAGCACCTTGAGTTTTGGGACCTTGAAGACTCTGGGCCCAAGCACCGTTGGCCTCTAGTCCCCCACTAACAGTTTCCCTTTAAGTACTGCTTTGGCTGTGTCTTACTGATTTTGATATGTTCTGGTTTCACTTTCATGTCGTTCAAACCTTTGCTAATTTTTGCTGCAATTTCTTCTTTGACCCTTGGGATGTTTAGAATTGTGATTCAGTTTCCAGTGATTTGGGAGTTTCCTCGATGCGCTTGTGGTTTCTCCCTCAAGTGCATCATGGTCAGGGAACACATGTACGTTGCTGTGGCATTTGAGACCTATTCTGTGGCTCAGGTGCAGTCTGTCTTGTTGACCTCTTTTTTTTTTTTAATATTTGTTTATTTGGCTGCATCAAGTCTTTGTTGTGGCATGTGGGCTCTTCGTTGTGACAAGTAAGGTCTTTATTTGTGGCATGTGGGATCTAGTTCCCTGAACAGTGATTAAACCCTGGGCCGTCTGCATTGGGAGCATGGAGTGTTAACCACTGGAGCACCAGGGAAGTAAGTCCCTTACTGAGCTCTCAAAGGGTGTGTATTCTGTGGTTGTTGAATGCAGTGTTTTAGAACTCTCCATTATGTCAAGATGATCCAGAGCTTAGGTCAGACCTTCCATGGCTTTGCAGATTTTTGGGGAGTGGGCAGCAGGGTGGGGAGGTCTAGTTATTCTGTTTGGTTCTGAGAAAGTGTTAAAATCTCTGATTATGATTGCCGATTTGTCTATTTTTCCCTTTAATCCTATGAATTTTTTGCTCATGGTTTTTGAAACTCTTCTTATTAAGCACACACTGTGAATTGCCTTTTTATTATGAAATTTCCATTTTTGTCTCTGAATTACTTTGTCATTATATCCGCCTTCTCTTCTATGAATATAGCCTCTTTAACATCCTTAAGATTAGCGTTTGTACAGAATTTCTCTTCCCACTCTTTTACTGTGAACCTAACCATGGCTTGGAATTTTAAAATGCATTTCTTGTAGACAGCATATGGTCAGGTCTTGCTTTTTTATCATCTTGACAGTCTTGGGTTTTAATTGGAATATTTTAGACTTTTACTTGGAATGTAATTACTGATATGATGAATCTCAGTCTATTTTACTGTTTGTTTTGTCTGTTCTGTCTCTTGAACCATGAAAAAAGGCCCCCGATGTGGGCTTTTGGAAATTAAAAGCTCCCATGTTGTGGGAAGTGCTCTCATCCCTCAAAAAAATAAAAGTTAGTAAATCTGAACCTCTCAGTGGGTAAATGGGTGCAAAGATGCCCTGCCTGACCGTGGCCAGTAGAGGTTATGTCAAGTTTCAATTACGATCAGCTGGTGTTGCTGCTCTTAGGAGACAAATTCTGTGGTGCTGCCATGTGGAGAAGGATTCTCAGGGGATGTGGAATTGAGGAAGACTCTAAAGGGCTGCATTGTTGAGAAGGATCTGTGGGCTATCGCATAGGCAAGGATCCTGAGGGGCTGCTGTGTTGCAAAGGATCTGTGGGTCTGCCATGTTGAGAAGAATTTGGGATTGCTGGGTGAGGAGAAGGGTCCCAGGGGCTGCCATGTTGGGAAAGATTCTGAGGGGCTGCAGTATTGAGAGGGATTTGGAGGGCCGGCCATGTTGAAGAATGTAGCAATTGCAGTTTGGGAAAGATTCTGAGGGGCTACCAGGTGAGAATGATTCTAGGGGCTGCCATGTTGAGAAGAATTGTAGGAGCTGCATGCTGGGAAGTATTCTGAGGACCTCTGTGTTGCGAAGAACATTAGGAGGTGATTTTTTTTTTTTTTTTTTGGAGGATTCTCAGCAGCTGAAGTGTTGAGAAGGATCTGAGGGGCTGCTGTGTTCAGAAGGATTCTGAGAGGCTGCCATGTTAGGAAGGACCTGAGGTGCTGCCATGTTGAGAAGAATTTTGAGGGTCTGGGGTGTTTAGATGGATCCTTGAGGGGCTGCTGTGTTGAGGATTCTGAGGGGATACCATGTTGAGAAGCATCTGTGGCCTGCTGTGTTGGGACAGATCTTGAGGAACTGCCTATTTGGGAAGAGTTCTGAGGAACTGCTGTGTTGAGAAGGTATCTGAGGTACTATTGTGTTGGGTAGGATTCTGAGGGTTTCTGTGTTGAGAATAATTTTAGGGGCTGCCATGTTTCTGAGGATTCTCAAAGGCTTCTATGTTAAGATGATTCTGAGGGGCTGCCTTGTTGAGGACACTGAGGACTTATAGTGTTCAGAAGGATTCTGTGGGGCAGCCATATTGGAAAGGATCTGAGGAGATGCAGTATTTAGAAGGGAAGGATTCTCAAGGCCTGCTGTATCAGAAGGATGCTGAGGGCCTCAGTGTTAAGAAGAATCTTAGGGGCCACCATGTTGGGAAGAATCTTAGTAGGTGCAGTGGTGGAAATGATTCTGAAGGGCGGCCATGTCAAAAGGATTCTGAAGGCTTTTGTGAGGTCAAGAATCTGAGGGGCTCTGGTGTTCAGGAGGATTCTGAGGTAGTGTCATGTTGAGTAAGATTTTGAGGTGCTTCACGTTGAGAAGGATTCTGAGGGAAGAATCTGTGTGGCTGTTGTGTTGAGAATGATTCTGAGGCATGCCATGTTGATAAGGTTTGTGAGTGGATGCCATGTTGGTAAGAAATCTGAGGTGCTGCTGTTTTGAGAAGGATTCTGAGAATGATCTGAGGAACTGCCATGTTGGGAAGGATTCTTAGAGGCTGCTTTATTTAGATGGATTCCCACGAGCTGTCATTTTGAGAAGGATTCTAAGGGTTGCTGTGTTGAGAAGCTTAGGGACTGCTGTGTTGATGAGAATTCTTAGTGGTTACCATGTTTGGAAGGATTCTGATGGTCAGGTGTGTCACAAGAATTCTGAGGGCTTTTGTGTTGAGAAGTATCTTAGGGGTTGCCATGTTGAGGACAATTCAGAAGGGATGTCTTATGAGATGGATTCTGATGGCCTCTTTGTTAGGGGCTGCTGTGTTGAGAAGGATTCTGAGGTGCTACAGTATTGGGAAGGGTTCTGAGAGGCTGTAATATTGAAAAGATGCTGATTCAAATCCTCCTCCTGAGGATGATTTGAATGCCTGCAGTTTGGGGAAGGATTCTGAAGGACTGTGATATTGAGAATTCCCAGCTGCTACTTTGTTGAGAAGTGTTCAGATGGCATGCAGTGCTGAAAAGAATCTTAGGGGTTGTCCTATTAGGTGGGATTCTGAGGGCCTCTGTGTTGAGAAGAATCTTAGGGCCACCTTACTGAGATGGTTCTGAGGGACTTCTGTGTTCAGAATGTTTTATGAATGGCTATAGCATTGGGAAGGATCTAAGGTGCTGCCATATTGAGATGTTTCTGAAGTTTGATCCCTGGGTTGGGAAGATCTGGAGAAGGAAATGGCAACCCACTCCAGTAGTCTTGCCTGGAAAATCCCATGGACAGAGGAACCTGGTGGGCTACAGTCCATGGGTTAGATTGAGCCAGACATGACTGAGTGATTTAACACACTGAGGGACTGCCATGTTGAAAATGATTTTGAGGGCCACCTGTATTGAGGATTGTGAATGGTTGCTTTTGGAGAAGGAAGTGAGAGACTGACATATTGAGAGGATTCTGTGGGACTGCTGTGTTGGGAAGGATTCTGAGAGCAGCTATGATGACAATTATTTTGAAAAACTGCATGTTGAGAAGGATTCTGAGGTTCTGTCTGCTGAGAAGAATACAAAGGGCCTGCAGTATTTGGAAGGATTCTGAGGGATTGCCATGCTGGGAAGGTTCTGATATGCTGCAATTTAGGTGGATCCTGAGGGCTATTGTGTGAGAAGGATTAGGGGGCTGTTGTGTTGAGAAGGATCTGGAGGAGGGCTTCTGTGTTCAGAAGGATTCTGGGGGCTTTCTGTGTTGGGAAGGATCTGAGGGGCTGCTGGGTTGGGAAAGATTCTGAGGGCCTTGTGTTTAGAAGAAGTTTAGGGGCTGCTGTATTTTGGAGAGTTCACGAGAGCTACCCCATCGGGAAAGATCTGAGGGAGTGCTGTGTTGACAAGGATTTGAGGGGCTTTTGTATTGGGAAGTATTCTGAGGGATGCCATGTGAGAGGCATTCTGAGGGGCTGCTATGTTGAGAGGAATTGGGAGGGCTGGCTTGCTGAGGAGGATCTGAGGTGCTGCCTTGTTGAGAAGGATTCTCAGGGCCTACAGTGTTGAGAAGAATGTTAGCAACTGCAATTTGGGAAGGATTCTGAGGGGCTGCCATGTTAGGATTTTGAGGGCTTTTGTATTGAGAAGTATTTTAGGGGCTTAGGATCAGAAGGGCTGCATTGTGAGATGGATTCTGATGACTTCTGTGTTTAGAAGAATCTTAGGGGCTGCTGCGTTGAGAAGGATGTGAGGAATTGCTATGTTGAGAAGTATTCTGAGGGGTGCTGTGTTTAGATATTCTGAGGAGCTGCTGTGTGGAGAAAGATCCTTCGTACCTCCCTGTGGAGCAGAAACTTAGGGTTTGCCATGTTGAAAAGGGTTTTGAGGGTGTGCAAGGTTGAGGAGGATCTGGGCAATGTCGTGTTGAGTAAGTTTTTGAGGTACTCCATATTGAGATGGATTCCCAGAACCTGCTGAGTTGGAAAGGATCTGAGAGGGCTGTTTTTTTGAGGATCTGAGTGGATTACATCTTGAGAAGGATCTGTGGGGCAGCTGTGTTAGGAATAATTCTTAGGTGCTG